CAAAGTGAAACAAAAACAAGTCAATACCTCCAGGTACATAGCTACGAAAGCCCAATGAGCTCATTTTCGAAGGTAAGAAAAATATTTTTTTTTTCGAGTTATAACGCGAAACATTCACGAATAAACGCGTAACTTTCGCGTTATAACGCGAAACTTTCGCGAATTAACGCGTAACTTTCGCGAATAAACGCGTAACTTTCGCGAATAAACGCGAAACTTTCGCGTTATAATGCGAAACTTTCGCCATATAACGCGTAATTTTCGCGTTATAACGCGAAAGTTTCGCGAATTAACGCGTAACTTTCGCGAATTAACGCGAAACTTTCGCGTTATAACGCGAAACTTTCGCGATATAACGCGTAACTTTCGCTTTATAACGCGAAACTTTCGTGATATAACGCGTAACTTTCGCGATATAACGCGTAACTTTCGCGAATAAACGCGTAACTTTCGCATTATAACGCGAAACTTTCGCAAATAAACGCGTAACTTTCGCGTTATTTCGCGAAAAAAAATATGATGCGAGAATAGGATTATTCATCAGAATATTTTATTTTATTTTAAAACCTTACTATTGAATTAATAAAATGGATTTTACTTTCTTGTACATGTTTTTCAATTGTTATTAGACTGTTTATTTCTTAAGGAAAATCTCCACTTGACATTTTTTCTAGCCGTTTTTTTTCAGTAACATTTACTACAACTGTACCACTAGTACATTAAGGAATCAATCATTTTGGGCAAAAAATTATACACTGTAGAAACATAACTTAAATGTGAATGAACAATGCATAATTTCATTGTCTCCAATATTTTTATATTGGGTTATAGAGAAGTTCGTGGACTAGCTATAAATAAAAAACTATGAAGGTATACAACAGGGTTTGTACACTTTGAATTGTCAATGTTTTCGTAATCAATGGAATGACAACGTGGTGCAACCTCAAAATAGAATATCTTATTTCCACAGTGAATTCAACGGAGACAAGTGAAAATCTGCTGTTCAATTTTCACAAATGCGGTGGGACACAATTGACAAATTTACCTTATTTTGTCAATTTTCTGAGATCTAGATCTCTATAGAATAAAATTATTTCAAATTCTCTAGAGAGTGCATAAAAAAACCGGTAAGGGGTGATTTTCCCCGAAATTAATAATCTTGAAGTTTAAGTTTTGGAAAACTTGTATAAACTTTGAATTGGTTGAGCAGCGTTGAGAAAGACAAATTGTGAGGCTTAAGATGGATTCAATAGCAAGAAAGCTTAAAATTTAACTTGTGATAGTCCAAGACCAAAAAAAGCCTCTTGATTATCATTGTAATAAATAAAATTGATGACAAAATCAAAAGAACGTTGAGACAAAAGCAAATGTCTGGTTAAACAGCAAAAGTTTCGCGTTATAACGCGAAAGTTACGCGTTATATCGCGAAAGTTTCGCGTTATAACGCGAAAGTTACGCGTTTATTCGCGAAAGTTTCGCGTTATAACGCGAAAAAAAATATTTTTCTTACCTACGAAAATGAGCTCATTGGTCTTTCTTACATAACAAATGTTTCGTCAGGTTTCAAAAAAAAATTGACAGTCCCCCCTTCCCCAAAGTAAAACTTTCCAAATTTCGAAAATCCAGTTCTGTAAGGTGAGGGGGGGGGGGGTCATCCCCACAAAGTCAGGGGTCCTTAATAAACACGTTGTCGTTTGATGCCAGGGGTAAAAAGGACAACATGTTGACAAAGGAATCCTGTGTCTGAAAGAGGGACGGAGAGGGGTGGGCAGCTAGGACTTAGATGAAGTATAGGTCAAATTACGACCGCTGAACTGAGGCCTCCATCGGGTCAAAGACAGAGGCATGTTAATGGGTTCTCCAACGGAAAATGGAGTTCACAATGTTGAGATTCTTGGATGATAAATTCTTGGCGTTTAAAACAAGCAATTTTTGTTCTCGATCTTTAAATGAAAATTAACGTAAATTCATAAATATATAGAAGCTAAACAAGGCCATTCAAAATGTTTTACCAGAGGACATTAGCCATGTTAGCTGGGAGAGTCTCACAGTTCATTTTAATTTTTCGGCATGCAATCAAATTTAGAACATGGAGAGGACATTCATTTAAAAGTATTCAAAACTAATCAGAAAATTAAATGTTTTAAAATGAATAATGAATATATCCAAAGAGGTTTATCGATATAGGGATAAGTAACACATAGCAACTTGTTCAGAAATCAAAAATATTTCTCATAGATTTATTTTAAACTGGTAACCTGAATAATGTTTACCAGATATAATGAAAGGATTTAAGACAACGCATGATATATCTTGTAAATGGCAAGGGAATTTTATATCTATTCATTGACTTGCATGAGAAAATTAAAAAAAGTTTAAAGAGTCCTGCAATGAAATAACAGGCACGTAGCATCGATTTTGAAAGTGTGTGGGGGGGGGGCAGCCAGAGAAATTTTTTTTACTTACCTGAAAAAGTTGACAAGCAAAAAGAAAAAAAAAAGAAAAGAAGGAAAATTGTCCAAAGTCGAAAATCCTATTTCGTGGGGGGGGGGGGGGGGGGGGGGGGGGATAGAGGCAAACTTTTCTTACAACCAATTCCTTTCAATACCCATTTTTAAACTTTACAATACTATATTTCCTTCATATTACTTTACTTTTGTATAAATTGGGGGGGGGGGGGGCAACCAGCCTTTTAATGAACATTTTCAATAGTAAACGTATTGTTGGCAAAAAAAGTATGGGGGGGGGGGGCTGCCCCCCCCCCCCCCCCCCGGTTGCTACGTGCCTGAATAAAGACTGTAAGCAGCATTTTAACGAGGATTTAATTTTGGCATTATTAGAGGGGATCGTTTAAATTGAATCTCCTATCAATTAATTGTGTATTTTTTATCAAGCCTTATAAAACTCGCCAAAATTACTTCTCGCTAAAAATACCAATTTTCAAGAATAAATCGCTTAATATGTATCTCGCTAAAAATTCTACTTGAATACGGTATATAAGTTGTGATCTCTTAAGAATGGCGAAAATGATATTTTGAATCATTTATTAATTTTTCTTTCTTTATTTTTTCTTCACATTCTTCTTCTTTTAAAAACTTTTCAAGTTACCCCCCCCTCCAATTAAAAAAAAGTTTTCTCCCATAGCTTACTTTTTTAATCCAGAAAATTGTCACTTACAACTATAAAAGATGGAGCTAACTAGTAGCTTATTTAAAATTTATTAAAGCAAATCGAGGAAAACCCCAAACCCCTCTCCCACCGTTCTACTGATCTTAAGTTTTACCCCCCCCCCCTTTTCTATTGCGTTTAATTTGAAGTTCCGCTGAATTGACGCATGCGCTTCCCTTTCACTTGTGTAAATGGCGACATGTGCTTGTAGAAAAAGCTGGATTTCTCTTGCCATGTATGTCAACAAGTTTATTCATTGACAGTATCTTATTTTATTGCTTGTGGTAAAGGATATCTTGACTGGTGTGTTTCAACTCATAGGAGGTTAATTCATATCAGCTAGAAAAATAGAATATATGCAAGTTGCAGAACACCATATGAAGACAACGTGGCTTCAGTGTTTTTGACTTGGAAATTATTAAAGACGTGATTTTGAAACATTCAGGAAAAGCAAGTATCATTTATTAACCAAGTGAAAGAGTTTGATAAAAGTTTAGTTGAACATCACAGCAAAGAAGAAGCAAACTGTGACACCACATTTTGGGTCGAAGGAAGATTGCATTAGCGAATGTCAAATCGAGGCTCTGTACTAACGTGACATTCTCGGGTTTGTTTACTATTTCGGACCTACAGTAACGCAGTGTTGCTGGCCATTTAAGGCTGTAAAAATAAGAAAATGCCAACAAGTAATAATTATTTTAGTTGTTGATTGGCGTTTTGATTGTCAAAGTAAGAAATTATTGTTTCTATACTCGTCCATCTGGTTAAACATCGGTGTGCATTATAAAACATGGCGGCTGTAACTGTAAGTAGTGCCTCCAGCTCTAATGAGAGTTTCCACTCAGAAAAGAGTAATGTCACCCGGCAGAGTAGTAACCCAGAGCTGGAGCGACCCAACCCCTGGAAGAAAAAGGAGGTTGTCCCCCCAGAACCCGCCGAAAAGGGAAAAGAAACTCCTCCAGCGCCTACCCCCAAAGAGGAGGAAGATGCTAAAGCTGAAAAAGGGGAAAAGGAAACTAAAGAGCCCACAGTGAAGAAATTTGACAATAAAACATATGTGGAGGCACCCTTACCCAAAACCAACCCTTGGAATAAGGGAAAGAAAAGCCCAGCTGTTCCCGTTTCTCCAAAAGCTGCTCCTGCTAAACCAGCAGTTGTCGAACCAGGTACAGTATTGTAACAGTTAAAGCTTTTAAGCTGCCATGTAGAATGGTTTAGATTTGATAAAAAACATGAAAACGTTAAAAATGGAAAATAGATTATTGTTTAATCAATAAGTTTAGAAGGTAATGCTTAATGGCACACACTTGGCTGCTCACAATAAGACCAAAGTATTTGCATATAATGATATTGATTGTTGGTGGTGAATGTCTACATTTATTTAATACTTTTTTATTGCTATACTTGTCTACATTATTATAAGAGTACATACAATAACTATTGTTGAAGACCCTTTGTTTCTGGACAATTCTGGTATGAATTTGAAAAGAATATGCATCCTTTATTCCTTTAACTTTTTTACAGTAAGGACAAGAAGGAGGATAAGACTACTGTAAAATCACATATTTTTGTGGGGTCAAATTTTCAGGGTTGGAGTAAAAACCCTTGGTTCGTGGGGATTTGAAGTTCGTGGATGAAGAATTGTTGAGTAGTTATGTATGTAACATATTTTACATTTCATGGTGGACATGAATTCGTGGGTCTCTTTATACCACGAAAACAGCGAAAATCCCCCACAAAAAAATGTGATTTCATAGTAACTAGATTCTTCCTGTGAAAAAGCTATGTCCCAAACCAGCCTTTTGCACCTACTTTCATTTTCTTCAAGAAAGTATTGCACTTCTGTTGTTGGATATGTCAAAATAGATGCCCCACATTGTAGCTCTGTTGATCAAGCATAACATATCAATATATAGTAAAACATGCTTATAGCAAGTTGCCAGGGCATCATGGGCATGCAATTTTGCATCTGACATCTGTAAACTCATAAGATTTTCAACTTTTTCTCAAGAATCACATGGCTATTAAATTTAACTAAACCTTCCATAAATCATCCGTGGTTGAAAGAGATAATCACAGTGTTTTCCCTTTATTTCAAAGTAAAGGGTTAGAGATAAGTTGAAACAGGCTAGGGGCTGAGGTTCATGAACAAATTCTCTGTGGACCTAACAACAAATTTTTATTTCAAAGCGGCATTTTTGTCAGTTAAAGCGGTCAATTTGGCCGGTAGCCGGTTCTTAGGGAAAACACTGTAATCACATAAGTTTGTTCAACAAATGATGGACAATGCTCTCTTCAAAGGGGAGATGATAAAGAATTAGTGAAAATTTCATGACATTTTTCAAAAGCCATCTTCTCGGGAACCACTGGGATCAGAAAAGATGAAACGTTAATGCTTGAAAACTTCATTTTCTTGGAGTCAAGTGCAAGTTGTATATTTGAGTTTGTTCAAATCACAATTTTGGGAGGGGATGTCATTTGTTGATCCAAAACCACAGCTTAATGAAAATGAACTATACGAGGGTTGATCCAAAAGTTCGTGGAATTTCTTTCTAAAATTTTATTGTGATTTGATGAAAGCAAACAACATGCATATATATAATATAGAGTCATAATGCAACAATATTAGAAAATTTCACTACATTCCAATTACCAATAAGGTCATACGAGCTTTCTGAAAATGGATAGTTGTGAAACCCGGGGGAGACTTCGACGTAACGTCAAGTTAGATATGTCACGTCACGTAAAAGAAGCATCTCAGCCTAATGTCCGATTCGAATACGTAATTCTACAAATTGCTGCCTTTTCCCTCATTTTTTTTCTCAAGAAAAGCCTGGATATGCTCTCGCACCAACTTATCTTCATTTTACATACATATTTTCAAAATACTCCTCATCTTTCAATATGAGGCTTCAATTTCAGTAGCAATGTCAAGAACAGTACGTTAGCTGACAACTCCATTAACGCTTTTAATTTGTCTGGGGGGATAAACAGAGCCTCCAAAAGACCGCCACACCTATAGTCAACGTCCATGGAAATTCTACTTTTTTAAATTTCTTATGCCACTAGACAACCAGTAACTAAATGCATGTTCCCCCAACCTATGTCAATACTATACGCGTTTAAGAAAGAATTGATCGCGGGATTTTCACAAAATTTATAACTTGACCGAAATTTCACGTTGTTTAACAACTTAAAGATGAACAATAAATCATCAACTAATACACTAAATATCCAGTAAAATCAGTACAACTCTCACACAAAGGTTTATGAAGGATCACCCAATCGTAATAATGACATAATTTTCGTTTTATATACCACATAGGGCCGTTTTATTCTCATTTCACGTATCAAGAATTAAAAATGATAATAAACGCGTGAATGTCTCCCCCGCATTTCCAAACAACCGTTTCTATGGCAACTGCCATAGAGTTACTATCATAAATATTTAAAATGTTTTTTTATTTAAAATATTCAACAAGTGTCTATATTCTCATTTGTAATTTTCAACCAATTTCACATATAAATGAATAAAATATGAAGAAATTCCACGAACTTTTGGATCAACAATCATTTGGGAAGAATTTAACATCAATTTTTTTTAATTGGTAAAATATTTTACCAATTAAAAAAAATTGATGTTAAATTCTTCCCAAATGAATGAGAAAGACGGCTTAAAATGAATGAAAACGCAGAATAATTAGTATTGATCAGATGTCAGATTGATAGTACCATAGTATGTAGTAAGTATGCCTAGATAATCGTATTATCAGATAGTAACCTTGACTGACTTTTAATTTTGAACATATGACAAGATTCAGATTTTTAAACTTCATCAATGAAAAGCATTTATACAATCATACCCCTATTAGGAAAAATTTGTTAACGTGTTTAACCTGATAGAGTTGAGTATGGAGTGTGAATCAAACATAACTTACGTTTGCAAAGATTAATCTTCATCATTAGTACATGCACCATTAAAATTCAATGCATCTCATGATTTTCTTGATTTTTATAACCTTGGGAATTGTAGTGTTGGCAACTTTAGCAATGAGATATGGCGTTTATAGGCAATAAATCAACTTGATTTCCTTAAAATTTGTAATGATTCTAATATTCACTGGATTTTAATTCATGAAAAGGAAAATTTAATATTTTACTGCTGTTCAAATTAATTTTTATCAATATTAAATTTGAGGTAAATGAAAGTTTCTTCAGCATATCTAGTATGGTAACTATTGCATATGTTTTCAACTAGTCTAGAAGAAAATGAGCTGAATTCGAAGTGTTTCTTTTTCACATTTGCATGGTGTAACAAGGACCAGCCTCACTTATAGAGACCTAGGATATAATTATTCTTATTCTTAGAACTTCCTGTGCATTGGGGATTGAGTTTTAGATTTTAACATTTATAACAATATATTTAATATAGTCTTCTGCAGTGCTTCAATTTTTTTTTCTCGAGCATACTTAAGAATATTATGCCTTGCCGATTTTTCTGACCCCTATGAGTACTTCAGTAGATAGAATTGAAGGACTTTTAGTTTTACATTAAGGGCATCTTCAACTAATTTAAAGTTGCCCGCATGGTGCAGTGGTTAGAGCGTCTGCTCTAGAGTCGCAAAGTAAGGAGTTGATATTTACGTTGCGGGCTCCAATCCCACTGTTGGGTGTGGAGACTGGTCCTTTGGATGAGACTGTGTAAACCAAGGTCCTGTGTCGCAGTAGGTGCTGGCACAAAAATGACCCCTCTCTGCTCAATGGCCCTGAGTGCTGAGTATAGGACAAAATTTCTAGCTTTCCATGGGCAAATGGTGGCGTCTCCATATGAGTGAAAAATTCTTGAGAGGGACGTTAAACTATATACAATCAATCAATCAACTATTTACTAATTTAAAATAAAATGGAAAACAAACTTGCATGTCACTTCAGGTGGTATGTATGAGGCCTAAAAAAAATATGTTTGTTTCCTGTAACCCGACCGACCCATTCAAATTATCCCCGGGTGGATTTTTTTTTCTGACAAATGGCAAAACTTCGTTTGATCAATCAGCTGATTCCATTTTTCAAATTCAAAGAAAATAGCTTGTAGCTTAATTTGAGACATAAAATATGTCAACTTAGTGTACATTTACCTTAAATATAAAGAGTAATCATTATTGTAACAACAGTTTCCCCCTACAACTTTCTGAAGTTTGTTTTCTGTTGCTTGGCAGCCATTTTGGATGCCATATTGGGTGTCCACTGTAAATATAACACCTGGTATTTTCGGTCCGGGGATGTTTGACCATTCATAAGCAAAACAAAAAAAAAAAAAAGAATTTCCAACCTACCGACCCTTGATTTTTTGGGAATGTTACAGGAAACAAACTTATTTTTTTTTTAAGCCTGATGGGGATCTGTAACTTGTGTATTACCTTATATCGGTTAGTTTCATGGGAACCTGAAATCTGTAGTCCTATCTGTAGAGATGATTTTTAGAAAGAGTTGCACATTTTAGTTTAGGACTTGTACTTTGTACAAAATATTTTAAAAAACTTACAGTTTTTGGCCATTTTTGAAGGAATTTTCAGTATAATGGTTAATGAGTTTATGACGCATATTGTGATATTTCAATGTATTGGCCAGCAAGAAAAATGATGTTGTTTAAGTTTTTGGTAGATATCATATGCAGTTATCAAATGCCAATGTGATATTAATTGCATTGTCTTCCAATACTGAGGTATTAAGATTTTTCAAAGGGCCAAAAAAGGCTCCGATTGAACCTTGTACTTTTCACAACTTGACATTTTTCATAAGGGAGGTCACTCCCATTCAAATTTGCGAAGAACAGATAATTCTCATTGATTGTTTAAACTTCAACCTTGAAATCCTTGCCATTGGGCTTTATTTTCTGTACGGGAGTAGTTTATATAGTTATTAGCTGTTTACTTCCCTTGTAAGCTTCCATTTTATGTTAAAACTGGAAGATTAGATTCAGGATCACCTCAAATGACCTGGTAACTTTGAATTGAAAGTGAAAATTGCACTGAAAAGGAAAGCCTTTTTACTGTGTTTAGCATGTTCATGCCTATGTGTGCAATGTTTAAGTTGATAGGAGATTTCTTAGGGCATTGATTTTTCTCCGTAGTCTCTTACTAAGATATGAAATGTCTTCTTGGCATGGTGTTTTGATCATGATAGGATTCCTATTGAAGTGTCTTGTTGGACACTCTAGGTAATTCTGTAATTCTAAACATTTCATCTGATTTCACAAGTTTTATGCTTTATGATGCTTTCATCGAGTTTGAAAACTGTTTGTTTGAATTTGACTCTTGTAATGACTTGTTCAAATTAAGATGTTGTTTTCAGTGAACAGAATGGATATTATGAACTAGAGCAAAGCTCGTTGCAAAGCAACGAGTAGGTCTTCCGTCCTGTTTTGACCGGAAGTGACGTCAACAAAAGAAAACAATGAGCTAAGTCGTCTCCAGTCACTTTATAATTTCAATTTTGTATTAAAACCTTAAAAAATAAGCTATTTTTGGCTATTTCCGGTTTGACCGGAAGTGATGTCGACGGACGGAAAATTAAGTTTTATGCTTCCAGTGACATATGTTACCCAAAAACTTGTCAAGAACGGCAAAAATATGCATTTTCTGACGACTTCCGGTTTGACTGGAAGTGACGTCACCGGACACATTTTGACGACTTTAATAGATCAAGCTTGACATTTTGAACAACTTTGCTTCTTGAACGTATTACAAATTCTCAATACTTTTTGAGATATCTGGAAAAAACTTTTGGCCCCTCTAGATCCCTAAATTTAGGGGTCAGCCCTTTTTCCAAGATATCATTTGAAAGATCTTCTAATTCTGCACAAATTATGTTCTATATATTTTAACAAAATATTTTTAGTTTAGAAGATAAAAAGCAAAATACGAGTAATCTTTGGCTCTTTTAAGCGTTCTAATTTTTGACCCCTATATAGCGCCATTTTGAATAGAGAAATCGAAAAACAAAAACCAATGTGCACAACTTCAATCCTTCTATTATCTAAAATCAGTAGAATTTCTGCTCCAGCTTTAGCCGTCTCTGAGCCTTTATCTGGAAACGAAAGCCTATAAATTTTCGTTTAAAGGGAAATAACTCAAAACCGGAAGTGACTTTTTGAAATTTTAGACAGCATTCTGATAGAGTTTAGTAACTTCTAGTACCTCTGAAAATTTGAGCGAAATCAATTGAGAAATGAGTGAGATATGAGGCTTCAAAGTTGGTGTCTAGGAAGTAGAAGAAAAAAAAAAAGAATAATAATCTTTACCAACAGAATCAGTAGAAGGTCTTCCGTTGGAAACAGAAGACCTTAATAACAATTTAATGTTTTTGTGACACATTAGGCATGTAGTATGCATGCAAGAGATTAATTCAGTTCAAGAAATCACTGCCTTCTCATTAAGTAGTATAAAATCAATAAAGCTGAATTACAATCTTCTCTGTAGTGTCTCCCATTACATATTTTACCATATATGGGTTTTACAAGTGCAAGGCATGGTTCTGCTTGTGATGAGTTGTGCAATTTTGAGTACAAGTGTAATGATTGACATGTATCTGTGTGTAAGGATGTGAGATGTAGATGGTAAATGATTTACTTGATATTGACTTAAGACACACGTGTTACCTGTAAATTGATAATGACAGGCGTTTATCTACGAGAACATGACAGGTGTGACTGGTTTGGGTCGTGATAACTTAAAAACATATTAACACTCGATGCAGGATATTCAGGACTTACGAGGCATGTGTAAGTGACGACAAAACGTGTGCTAACGTCTCACGTCTTGAGAAAACTGAATATTCTCTGCACATTTCCTACTCATTTGCCGTAAATTGTGTATCCGTAGATGACAACCTATGTGACTGCCATATGCTTTATTTTAATAGGCAATTACAACCATATGTTACAACAATTTCGACATTTTGCTCTATATTTATGTAATGTATAAAGCTCATTTGATGATAAATGGTGAATATTGGATTGATGATCATCTATTCAGAGCTATAGTTGATACAGTCACGCCCTGAAGTTAGAATTTTTTTGTCATATCTATTTGTATATATAGGTACAGGATGTATATTTATTTGCTATGGTTTATATACGTGCAGTTGAACACGTAAGAAAGGGGGAAAAACTTCTAACATGAGTTCATGACAGTATAGCTCTTAACCGAAATTTTTTAAATGAATTCATTTCGTTATATTGACACATGTGATATGCATTATAGCATAGGCCAAGGCACTGACTACACAGACCAATAGCCAAGCTTAATTGGTATTCTGTAAATTCTAAAGCACAGTGTTAATGGGGGATTTGTAAATTTAAGCTGGCTTCCTAAGGCTTATTTTAAGGTCCCAAGTGCAAATCATAATGCAACATATGATGTTAAGTCAGGGGTTTGGCTAGTCTAGCCATATTGAGCTGTGTTTTACCAGAGGCAGATATTAAAAGGGCTTAATTTGGAAACATAATCTATTGCTATCTGTCTGAACAGCATTTACAGATTTTGTCACTATACCGATTTTATTTTCTTTTGTTATGAACACAAGACTTCATTCATTCAATAGATACAGAGAAAATTAATTTATCAAAAATTAAAATGAAACGGAAGACATACATGTAGTCATGAATAACATTAACTGTGATACAATTAATATACATTGTATTTCTTCATGAATCTACAAGTATGTCATATTTTATGGTGTAGGTGGAAGGGCATGTATACATTGAAAAGAAAATCATATTTAAAGTTGAAAAAATCTTTACTAGAATGCTGTTCTCTTTTATAGAACCTGTTGATGTCGTCAAACAAAAACCAGTCAAGGCAGATGTTGCTGTAGCTAAAGAGAAAACCCCAGAGAAGGTAACTCAATAAATACTATATTATTGAACAAAAGGATAGAAACTGAATTGTACGCATGCAAAGTTAATCCTTGAATCACTGACTCATTTTTCAACTAAACTGGAATAAACAAAATTTGATTGAAATATTTTATTGTGGCATTTGTACTGGTAAACAGTTAAATAGAATGTTCAGAATGTTTATTTACTCTTATTTCTTGATTATACAGCCATCAGCACCACTCAGTGATGAGAACTGGCCAGCTTTGACTGAAGTCACAGAGGTACGTATTGTTAGATCACATGAAAGTTTTTCTGTCTCTAAATAATGAACCAAAATTAATGTGCTATGCTTGTTATACTGTCTTAGTAAAATTACCTATGATGAAATAATGCAGAATGCTTGTTGATGAAATTAAGGATTCTATAAATTTTTAAAGGTCTTGGTTCCAAAGAAAACCACTTCCATGAAACCAACACCGACAGCACAGACCAACGGCCAACAGCAGCAAGTGTCCTCAGATTCAGGGGGAGACGACTCCTCAAAAGAAAACAAGGAAAGTAACTCTGGCGGTGAGGAATCCCAACCACATCCAAAAAGGAAAGGCAGAGTTGGTAAGCATTTATATAACCCTAAAAACACAAGCCTTAATAAAAAATATATCTTTCATACATAGAATCAAATCCTCATGGTTTTTTGTGCACCTGTCATTTTGTTTTTCTCTGAGAAGTCAAACTTTTACCATGGCCAGTTGTTTCTCATGAAACGCCATGGAAATATTTCATCAAAATAAGATGAATGCCAAAATCATCAAATTTTAGATAACAGCAGGCAAAGTATTCCTCATAATAGCAGCAAATTGTACAAAAAGTCCAATGGTTTATCATTGAATGATATATAGCTTGAATAATGTCATGTACTTTAAGTACTAAGTATGTTTTGTGAATTTCCAGCCTCCAAACAGAAGTGGGTGCCCTTAGACATAGAGACCAAGAGAAGGAGTAGAAGTCATGGCCGAGCGAACCCCCGGGAATCTAGAAGAGGAGGCAGAGATGATAAAGGTGAGGAAGGGTCACTCAGGGTGTAGGATTTTATCCTCAGTGTTCCCCCCTGAACCCCTAAACTATAAATCCTCTACAGTAATACACAGTGTCCAACAGGAATTTAAAAAGAACAGACATAAACTTTATTGCTTGTCTGTCCATTCAAGATGTCTTGTATTATAAGTGAATGCCTTGAAATGTTCAACACTGAGTGGTATTTTATCCCAATTCCTGTTAAGAAATGTAATACATATATGTACTTACGTGACTCTGTACAGCATTCATATAGAGGTTTGCATTGTGAAATAGTAGAAATAATAGGGAAAAGGGAAGTGAAACATCTTATATTTGATATTAACAGTTTTAGAAGTTAGAAATATTTAAAAATATTCAAGTCATAAAACAAAATTGTAATTTTCAATCACCAGTGCTCGAGACTTTAGTCACTTTGAAAAAACTTTGATTGTGACAGATGTTGCTTTCCAATATCTTTTTGATAAAACTTACATCAGGTGGAAATTGCTTGTTTTAATAAGATCATAAGTAAAGAGTAGCAATTCAAGGTCAAAGGATGAGTTAGATGTTATCTTGACTGTGACTTCTGAATAATATATATAAGATAAAAACTTCACTTAATTAAATTGCCAGAGGTCAGGGTCTAAACTTCCTTCCAGATCAAGGTCACTGTAATGCAATAAAGTAGAAGATCAGAGCAGTATTCCCATGTTAGAACTTGGGCTTAATAATGGAAAATAATTGAAATATTGACTGGCCATTATGCACATGATGCTGCAATCTTTTCTTTGAGGTGCATCTAAGGTATTGCTCTCTTCACATGTTCATCTGAAATTGACAATGTAAGTCTGTTCGAGGGCTGCTTTCCTTCTAACAGCAGTAATTAAAAAAAAGGATAGAAAATAGGGTTCAATGTAGAAAAAAAGTCATATTTTGGTTTCCTTCCAAATTTCACTTGCCCACTTTGTTTTATGTATTTGTCAGACAAAGTCATAAACTGTCTATCAGAACACAATGATAGCTTAATTTTGTGTCAACAAACAACTAAGACAGTTTAAGTTTAAAATTATGTTGTATTATGCAATATCAAAAACATATTTACAAACATATCACATATCACATATATACACCTTAAACAAAGTACTTGGCGAAAGGGCAAACCCAGCTATGCAAGATACACTAAAGGTCCACTTGAGCAGAATGGTAAGGTGTGCTATTCTACCGAGTGGTGGTAAGCTGCATGTTCTGATGCGAGCTCAACAACTCTGTTTGATGTTTGAAGTGTCAAACTGTACTGTGGTACCAGGAATTTGAGCTGAGAGAGGTCTGGTCATGTTGGTGGAGAGCCAGCTGGCATACTCTGTGACTCATTGAGTATGATGAGTTTGAGGCATCAAACTGTATACTTGGGAGCCTTGTAACATTAGGCTTTGCAAAGCAAATGACCTGACAGCTGAAACAGTAGGGAGTTTGTTTCCTGTGAATTTGGGGGGAAAATTTTTTTTTGCATGTTGAGGTACAACATGTTTATGCAAGCATTAAAAACTTCCAAAGAATGACTCATTGCATTGTGTTATTTTAAAACAAATCATTCTGTCAGTGGTCGAACACCATCGAGGACACCAACTTGTCTGAGGAAAAATCAGCCTTACACAGACTTACATGTAAGTGAAATGGTAATTAAAGTCCTAGGAAATAAAGTTGGTTAATTTCATCATCACCCTTAGGAACTCTAAGATTCAAATAACAAATCATGCATTGGATCAAGATTTCTTAAATAAATTTCATCAATTATGGGTGCAGACTTCATTGCCCAAAACTGTTGACTGATGGATTTTGCATAGTATATATAAGGAATAAAGAAATCTATGTATTATATTTTAAATGTGCCTTCAATCCCTTTTAGATAATAATAAATGGCACTCTTCAAAGTTCATAATAAACATGATAAATAATGTATGTATTGGACTAGCCATAAATTAATTTTAGCTCCATTTTAAATATGCTTGTAAATTTAATATCAATACAATACAATAAAGTATGTCAAACAAGCTATTCTGGTATATGCATATTTATTGATAATGTTGAATGGAGCTACCTATAGATATAATAGGTATATTACCTAGTTCATATTCATGCTTGGAAGTGTAAGGAAGAGATTTGATTACAATGTGCCCCAGGCAACTATTTGTCAGGCAGTTCATACATAGGGTCACTTGTTCTCTGCAAAGTCAACAAAATCTTGAAGGCAGCTTCTAAATACGGCTATTTTCTTACATGCACATGGATTATTTTTATGTTTAAAAAAAGGGAAAAAAATCTGAATTGATTTGAAGTTTCCTTATTTTATGCACTTCACTCATGTGTACAGTAATGGAATTCAAGTGCTTTTCGTGTGCCATATGGTCAAACACGTGGATATTCAGAATGTCAGTTAAGGCCTGTTGATTGTGAAATAAACTAGTTATCTTTTTCTTGAACTTTTTGCTTTTTGTTGATGGATTATCGATGGTATTAGGTCATGACAAGACATCGGCGATCTAAAAGCTCAGGTAGGACAACAACACGTGTATGGCTGAGTGATGGCCTACTCGACCTTAAGACATAATGATCATTACCACGACACCTTGCTCCTACGACTTCGTTAGTGTCATGTCGACTAATGGTTGGAAGGTCATTAATAGCGATGGCTTTTCAATTAATTTGATGTACTAGCTTTAACACAAGTTACAGTTAAGTTCAATGACATGTTATTTTGTTTATAAATATCATTATGCAAAAATGTGGGAGAAGTAATGTAATTATGGTAATTTAAACTTCAAAACTTGAGTGCAAGAAAGTTGAAATTAAAACAGAGAGTTATTGGAAAAAAGAGTGAAAACTAATTTTGTTAGAAAAACTCTGTATCCAACTATCCATCAATAAAAAGTTACACAATTAAACTACATCAAATATTTCAATTTAGCCTTTGTTATTGTTTCTTGCAGTAATAATTCATCAGAGACATTGTTTATCATAATTCTGTTTATTTTCAGGCTCAGACAGTAAGAACTGGCGTGATGACATGAGACCACCGAGCCCCAGGGAGGGGCGAGGTTTCCGTGGATACGGATTTCGAGGGCGGGGCAGGGGTCGTGGAAGAGGCAGGGGTGGCAGAGGAAGAGGAATGGATCAGACCGTGGAGAACTTGACAGGTAATGACAGCACGGAGATTCCTAATAAAGTTTGTGATTGATGAGAATCTTGTAATGTTGTGACAAACCAGGAATATGTGGTCTTGTATCAGGTCAAACCTAGCATACAAAAATGTTCAATATTTAAAGTAGAAAAAAAGAGCTCTCAGTACATGAACTTCTTATTGCTTGTACATTTCATTTATTGCAAGCAATTTTTTAAAACAATAATATGAGAAAAGGCTAAAAATTCAGGTTTATATTGCACTTGCATAAAAGTTATCTACCATTTTTCAGGTCAAGATTTTAAGTACACCTATGATGGAGAACAGTTTTATGCTGACCCAGCTTCAGTCAGCCCTACTGCCGGTGGCGTCTCCCCCTCCGGATTTGGAACTGTGTATTTCAATAATCCTTACTCGGATGAAACTACACTGAAAGAATATGTCAGAAAACAAATGTAAGAGTATATTGTTTACATCAGATCTTAATAATCTCACAAAAAAGGATATTTAATTATTGAAGTCTGAAAGAGTGGTGAAAACTGCTGTAGACAAAAAACCCCATAAATATGAATTTTCAAAATTGAATGTTTTTACAGTGAGTACTACTTCAGTGAGGAGAACTTACAGCGGGACTTTTTCCTGCGGCGTAGGATGGATGCGGAAGGCTGGATTCCCATCAGTCTCATCGCCAGTTTCCATCGAGTTCAGGCACTCACACAGGACGTCAACCTCATTATACAGGTAATGGTAGTCAGCTTATGGTGGTAGAATTTACATAAATGAAAGCATTTAATTTTGCTTATAAAAACTGTATCAGTGTTTGCAGAGAACCTGTGCAGATAAATTTAAGATTTTATGACACGTGATTATAAATTCTGTTATCTTTAAACATTATAGTTCTGCATTTTAACTGATATGTGGTAACCTTTCACAATTTGTTGAATCTTTTTTCAGGCTCTAAAAGACAGTGAAACTCTGGAGGTGTCTACTGACAATTTAAAAGTAAGAGGGAAAGAAGAGCCAGCTAAGTGGCCCTTACAGAGCCCTGCAGGACTGCCTTTCTCATCTAACCTACACGCTGATGTTCCCGAGTTTGTCCCCGGCAAGGCTTACACATTCCACCCTGATGACAGTGGTATTTCTCATGATGCTGGTGAGTAATAAAATGTTTGTACAGCAAGTTTGTATTGTACAATGTATCTATCTTTTGTTAAATTTATTGAGTGATGTTTTCACTTATATAACATTAAAATGGTTTAAATATATGAGTGTTTGTAGATTAGATTTTGGTATTATTTCCGTCATGTTTCTGGATCAAATTGTACTAAATTATGTAGATGTATAGATTTAATTGATTTTGACATTGCTCAGTAAGGCATGTCCTAAGATTGTAACTAGATTTTGATGAGAATGGGTCATATTGTAAAAATTGAGGTTTTGTAAATTTTGACATAGCGTGGACATATTGTAGTACTGGAGACATATATTTTAATGATATTAGGTAATGTTTTATATGAGATTGTTTAATTTTGCCAAACAAAATTTACGTTGTGTCCTTGGTTGTTCAGAATTTGATAAAGATATATTTTTTTCTCTCCAATTAGTTTTGAGGTTGTGTGAATAGGGTAGATGTACCTGTAAGTCGTTTCCTGAAATTGTGTAGATTTTCTCAAAACTTTTCTGTGAATTGTATAGATACTGACAATTGGCTTGATCCTGTTTTATAACCCAGTACATATATAAATTCTTGATTACAGAAGATATCCACGATGACTCGCACCATGGCAGTGGAATTGGAACCTTTTTGGATGACATGACAAACTTTGATCGTCGTGGACATGAAGTCTTGTCCTCCAGCGCGCCAGAGTTACACGGAGAATGGATGGAGGTCAAACGCAAAGTCAGAATGGCTAAAAAGAAAGAGGTAGAGATTGCCACAAATAGTTGCACACTTTTTGAGTAAAACATTCTGGACTATGTTAAGAAAGATAAATGTATGCTAAGTAATGTATGCTACTAACTGCAAAAAATTGAAAGATGTAAGAGCTATAAGTATCTCAACTAGTTTGATATCACAAAAACTGTTCTGATTTGTTTGAAGTTTTCTAAAGTGCACATTTGGTTGGTAAATTAAAACTTCATAGATGATCTACTTTTTGTCTGCATGAAAGTGGTAAGAAATTAATACTGTATATTGTATGTGCAACATTACAGGAGAAAGAGAATGAAGCTGATGTATCTACAAAAGAAGATGAAAAAGAAGAGCTGGATTTTATGTTTGATGAAGAAATGGATGGGTTTGAGGTGGGACGCAGAAATCACTTTTCAGAATGGTAAGTGGATTGATTCTGCTCACATTTTGTATTTGTAAGAGTTTTCTCCCTTTATAAGCCTCTCCTGCCAAACTGTTTCATCATGTTGAAAGTCATTCAGAGAAACTTGAGGAAATTTCTTTTCCATATCTCAGTCAGTTAAGGTAGTGTGCATAGGGATTTAACATGAGGTACAGGATTCACAGAGTTACCCTTAAATACAGGTATATGTAAGAAGAAAAAATTATAAATTATGGTAGTAAATCATATATAAAATGATTGTGCATGTTTATGAGTGATGTGTTTAATTTAAAATTCTGTAATTTCTTCTAAGGTCTGATGAGGAATCAGATTATGAAATCACAGACCAGGATGTCAACAAGATTTTAATTGTGACCCAGACCCCACCTTCTCTCAAGAAGCACCCCCAGGGTGATCGCACGGGGGACCATATCAGTAGGGCCAAAATGACCGCCAACATGACCAAGGTCATCAACGATGGTCTATTCTATTATGAGCAGGATCTACATGAAGCTTTAGAGGTGGGTAGTTTGACGTTGACATGACTTTTGTTTTTTTTTCTTGATTATCAAATGAAAAAAGTGTGCCAATTCATAAGATATTTTATCTAGAAACAGAAAAGTTTTTCATAGTTTTGATTATTTCAGATGGATTTTAGTCAATTCCGTACAGTCAGTGTTATTTCTCAGGAAGAATTTCAAAGTATTACCCCCAATGTCTCAACCCCCAACCAACAGGTGCCCCCGCCCCCTCCAGTCACACTACAGTCAGGTAAATCATAGGAATCCTGTTTGTTATTAGTTTGATATCATAAACAAGACAGAGATATCATCTAAAGTACTGTACATGTTTGAATGTAATGTGTAAAACCTAAAGTGATTTATCATTTGAATATAGATGAGCATTTAAAAGAAACAAATAGTTTAATATTTATCTTCTCAATTCTTGTTTTAGCTGCCAAAAAAGTACCAACACCACCTCTGAATGATGCCAATGGTACGATTCTCGCTCAGTCACTGCCAACAAACGTTCCTAACACTCCTGGAAGACGAGACACTGGTCCTCGTACACCCAAGAGTAGAGCGGATGATAAGACCCCCCGGTTCTACCCCGTCATGAAGGATTCTAGCCATCCTCCTGACCCCCAGGTAACAACACTATTCATCTGTAAAATTTCTGGGCTACTTGAGATTTCTTTTAGATTTCTTCAAGCTTCTTTTACTATATTATATATTGAAAAATTGAAAGCACAGTAAATTCATTGGATCCATAAGGACAACATATAAGTTTCCCTCCTTTGGAAACAATGTACAATTTATACAGTAAAACTCGTTTAGCATGAACATGGATATTGCAAATTCATGAATATAGTGAAGTTGTCTAGGATCCCCAGCTGTAAAAATTTAATGAATTTCTTATACAGATATAACAAATTACATATATAGCGAAGTAATTTCATAGGTCCCAGTGACTTTGTTATAGCAGAGTTTTACTGTATCAACATCACTGTAATAGTCAGAAATAAATTTATGCTAATGATTAGAACTTAAGATTAAGAGTGTAACATGAGTGTCAAGTTTTGAGGCAATCGTACCATGAAATATAGAGTTTAGTTTATTTAACTTTGACATATTTTTTTTAACCAGACCCCCAGAAAGAAGAAGACGAGACACAGCAGTAATCCCCCTATTGAGAGCCATGTAGGCTGGGTGATGGACTCAAAGGAGCATCGTCCATCTAGATCTCGTAATAACTCAACGTCTCAGAGGTGAATATGCCAGAAATTTCTGCTCAAAAGCATAGTCAAATGTAAAAAGTGGCAAGATAAGCTTTTGATTGAAGGTTATTCATTATTTTTTTGGACAAAGAAAATTTTAGGAAAACTGATGAAAAGTCAGAGGAGTACAATTTTCATTGAAATGATTCGGGTATTCATTAAAATGTTAGTTTGAATTCTTTATCATACTATTTCCAGCCCTACTGATAGCCAGATGGCAACCGCTTTTGGCAGCTATGGTAGTACACCTCACACATTTGCTAACTTCCATCATCCTTCTCATGAGCTTCTGACGGATAATGGATTTGTTTGGCATGTGTACCACAAATATCATTCCAAATGTTTGAAAGGTATTTGTCTTTTGTATCTCTATCAAATGAAAAAAGTAGAATTGACAAGATCTTAAAATTTTCATTGTAAGTTTAAAGGGGCTGGGGGGTTGTGGCCATTTTCACACTATTTTGACCTCTGTTAGAAGAAGAGCTCCATATAAAGATACAAAAATGATCAAATTTCAAAACTAAAATGCATGAAATTTTTCTCTGTAAAATAATGGTTGACAGCTTAAGATGTCATATCTAAAAAAATAAATTAAATCTGCTGGTTAATTTGTTGTCCCCCCAGCTCCTTAAATGAAAGATTGAAGATGATGTTAGTGTCTATTATGCTTTACTTTAGTTTACTTCACATTGTCTTTTGAGATACATATACTCTTAACATTTAATCTCTTGATTGAAATGTTTCAGATCGTAAAAGGTTGGGACCTGGGCTTTCACCTGAGATGAACACAATGTTTCGTTTTTGGTCTTTCTTCCTTCGACAACATTTTAACAAGAAAATGTACTCGGAGTTTCACCAGTACGCTGTAGAGGATGCTGCTGCTGGCTACAGGTAAGGCTTCCTATTCTCTTCAATTATTAACATTAATTCGTATCTAAGTTTGTAGTAGATGAATATGCTGTAAAGGATGCACTTGCTGGTTAATCCGTCTCTGGTCATATGCAATGAGCTCTTAATCCAAGTTTGTAGTAGATCCAATTAACAACAAAAAGGAATTTGAATTGATTTTTTTTTATGTGAGGAAATACATGTACTTGCATTTTAAGACAAATCGTACTATTTATTATGTAGAGAATACCTGTGCTAATAAAAATGAATAATTTTAATATTTTCCAAAGTTGAAAAGTATGAAGATGTAAATTGTTAGATAAATATGTTTTAAGGTGTTGCTTTGTACTTGTAGGTATGGCCTGGAGTGCCTATTTCGGTTCTACAGTTATGGTCTAGAGAAGAGATTCAGGCCAGACTTATATAAAGACTTCCAAGAGGAGACAATAAGAGACTATGAAAATGGTACGTTTAATGAGGAATGTTGAGCTTTATAATGGATAATTATCAAATGATATTGAGGGATATTTAGATTTTAACTTGAATTGATTAATCTCAATATTAATAAAAGGAATTCAATTTGCCATGTTTACTTCTAAATTGTTTTGCATGAAATTCAGGAATCATACTTTGTAAAATGAATATTTTCAGGAATCATACTTTGTAAAATGAATACCAAAATACATGTATACAATAAATGATATCAAAACAAAATAACAAAAAACAAGAACTTTATTAGAACTAGTGTACAGCTGTTTTTTCTCTCAACATCTGTTATCAGCAGCATTGTTATATTGTCCATTGCAAAAATAATGAATTGGCAGATGATTTGAAATGTAATACAATTGTAAATGAAAATGTTGAACATTTGTGGAAATCTTATACAATTTGTTGTTTAAAATAAATGTACTTGTTTTCTCATTTTTGCAGAAAAACAAAATTAAAATTTGTGAATGCAAAATTTTTAGGTCAGCTGTATGGTCTAGAAAAATTCTGGGCTTTCCTGAAGTATTCTCGGAGACAGGTAGATGTGGATCCTAAGCTAAGACAGTGGTTATCCAAGTATAAACGCTTGGAGGACTTCAGAATAGAGGTACAATATACTATATCAAGGAAACTCATCAACACAATGTGAACACTTCTTATATAGAATTTCAATTATGTGCCTTCTTTATTTCATGGGAATTTAAAAAAAAATGATAATCATTTAGTTTAGGAGAAAATGCACATATAGGAAATGTGGTTTTCATTATCTATGTTTTGCTTTTATATCACAAAGAATACCAACAAGAATTTTCAAAATGTTTAACTGTGTTATGCTAAAAATCCTGTATTTTTTGCTATATAGATGTTTGCTGATCAGGAGGGCGGTCGCCAGAGACACCCTAGTACATCGAGCATTCGTGAGCGTCAGATGTCCGGCTCCCAGAGGGAACGACACGCTTCAGGATCGAAAAGTGCCAAAGCTAACATAAACATTAAACAGCAACAGCAAAAAGCAAAGGAGCATCGCCGAGAGAGGACAGTGTCCGATTCTCAGTCAATTCAGAAACCCAGATATGGTGGTGGTGCAGCCAGGAAAGACAATAGATCGCAAACAACCCAACAGGACAAGAAGCCCAGGCCCGATAGCACTCAATCATCTAACCATGGGAAGCAATCACAGGGAAAACAGGAGAAAACCGATTCTGTGAAAAAAGACGATAAAGCTGAGCATGCTAAACCAACACAAAACAAAGAGAAAAGTGATCAGCCCAAGCCAGCAGGCAAACCTGACCAGTCGAAACCAGACAGTCAGACAAAGAAAGACCAGTCAAAACCAGACACTCATTCTAGGAGGGATCGCCCAAATTCTTCTGGAAATGTGAAACAGGAGACACGACCAAAATCAGGTCAGGGGAGGACAGACAGAACTGCCAAATCATCCCCATCCCCAGTGCCCAAATCTGCCCCCAGCCAGTGTAACCAGAACTCCAAACCGGCATCATCACAGAAACCACAGTCCAGTAGTAAAACCACTAAGTCAGCTGATGCTCAACCAACTTCTCAAGCCAAGACCTCAAAACCTGAATCCAAGTCATCACCACAGCCTAAAAGTCCTCGATCAGGGGGCTCTAATCAAGCTCAGAACCAGGCGAAAGTCACACCCGCTGCTGCAAAAACTAGTGAGACAAACTCAAAAGACTCAAAAGCTGGTGAAAAGCAGGCCTCATGATTAAAAAAATTCTTTTAAATTGTTCGCCAGTGAAGTATTTCGGATAAAGACATCAATGTGAGCTTTACAGGCATATTCCATTTACTTAGTGCTAAAAGGCTTCTTAAAATATTATTATTCTTTGATACTCTGCAAAAAAAACTTGTTATCAGATATTTCATTGTTTGATCATTGTTGATATTTTTGTTACAAAGGCATTCTTATTTTAGCATTTATACAGTCTGTTGTTATTGAAACTTACATGTAGTTGTAGCTTTTGCATCTCTTTTTTCATAAAGTGGCAACCATTTGCATCTGTTTTTACCCATACAAGTAAATGAGCTTGTATTTGTAATGTTTTATAAATTTAAATTGTAATTAGAATATTCATATTTTCTTTTAAAACCGAACCCACATACGCTTGCCATTGCTGTAGCTTAATAGTTTTCAGGCTTCAATGGGAATATACATGTATATAAATATTACCATTATTAAGCTGCGATTTGGATAGTGTCATCGTTGTTTGATGTCATTCATATATTCATCAGCGGAAATCTTGGGATCATGAAATGTATTTACCTCGAAGTTGAACAGGCTGTTGTGGGTCTAAATTGAACTATGCAATAAAATTTCTTGTCTGGCTTGGTGAAATTTGCATGTAAGCACTACCCATTTAGCTCTTTCAGTTGGCATGGTGTGTAGGTAGCATTCATTCATACAGGCCTCGGTAGGAATCGTAAATTTCTTTTAATCCATCAGGGTTTTGAGAGGTTTCTCAGCTATAACACTTTTGAATTTTTTGGGTAAAAGATTTGAGCTTTCTATGATTTTTCGTCTTTGTTGCTTGCACATAAAAAAAAAACATGTCAACATAGAAATGATGAGACCTCTGAAGTTGTCAGGTAATCTGATCAGCGAGTGATTTGATCCACTTAGTGGTGATGACTACACTTTATAAAAGGAGTTCTAGTGTCGATATAGATACATATTTGTTGTGTACATAGAATTATGTATTCTCACAGTTGTATTGCTAATTGTGTTATTGAGATTTATTGTATAACATTATTTTGTCTAATTTCCTTATAAAGGTCATGGTCAAATTCTAGATTCTGTCAGTTTTTAGTGACAGCATATGTGCCATTTGTACTAGCTAATTAGAATGGCATGTTAATATTTAGATACAGGTTATAACAATTGTGGTAGTTTAGAGTATCAGTAATGTACACAATTCAATGGAGAATTGAAGGGCTGCTCACTATCATATCAAGCATGGTTCTGTTGAGCTTGATACTAATTTTATAATTTCCACTTCGATGAATGTAATCACATATTGTATAATTTATGAAGGATTTCAAGTATTGTTTTTTTTTTTTTAAGTGGCAGGTATGCATTTATGCATTTTTCATGTGGTTATTATTACCAAATTAAATATTTCCTAATAATTGCATGGTGTAATAAACTTAACATTAATTTTCATTCTGATTATTTAGTGCTTATGGTCCAGAATTCCTTACAGAGTTATATCTTTTTTTCCCTTCACTGTTTTGATATTTCAATCTTTATCCTTATACCCCCATATATTTATATATGTGTCAGAGAAAATTTTAGTGCTTTGTATGAAAATAATCACCTGTAACCTTGGTAACAAATTTCTTGATGAATTGATTTTGCTGGAATTGTGTATGTGTATGGGATTGAAGTGGAGTGTGATATGTATTTGAAGCAAGAGCTTACGGACCTGTATATTGTTACATGATGTGTTGTTGTTACTTCTTTCACATTATTTGTGTCAATTGTAATGCGTTATTTTCTGCATTATATGTATTTTTGATTAGAAAAAAAATTAAAAACGTAAAACTTAAAAAAAAAAAAGCGAAAGGAAAATTTTTTTTTGTTTGCTATGTATATAGTTATTTATGTACAGTATCAAGATAGCTTCCCTGTTATTATTATATATATGATTGTGTTCACCGATATGTTGAAATTTTCTGTATTAATGAATATCTTATAATCATGAAGGAGATTTTATGAATCAAAGAAAGTTAATGTGTAACTACATGGAGAATGAATGTACATGTACATTTTGTTAATTATTGATTTGTACAATAGAAATGTACTCTGCACTTTAAGCAATTCTGTTTTTAGATGAACATTTTAATCCCTTTTTGCCAACCATTTGTTTATTCTGAAATACTGTTTGGACTTTATATTGTCTAAAAAATCAGTAAAACCAAGATAATTCTTATATTTTATGTAACTGTACATATAAAACAAAATTTCCTTTTACAAGATTATGCAATTTGAAAATTTGCTGTAAAACACAAAACCCAGTGATAGTAGATCATCACCACCATATGCTAATCTTGAGATCATTCTGTCTGTGGGATTAAACCAAGGGAGTATAACATTTCCCATAATTATTCTTATTTGTTTCACTATTCTTGTACATGTATCATCCATTATGATTATAATGATTGGTGTATTAGGTCTTTTTGTTAATTTTTCTGATGGATTAAATGGATTTATTTCATTTTTATATTGTATTTCAGAGTAAAACCCTGCTATGAAAAAAAATGATGCAATGATTAATTCAAGGTTGTTCAATATTTAGGAAAGGAAATGGCAATTTTTGAGCAAAAACTAATATTGTGATTGAAACCTAGGTGCTTTAAGTTTCCTTTTTGTACAGTTTACATACATTATTGTGGATGGGTGAATAGCCAGCATTAACTACTGTAAGTCCATGCTGTATGTTTTTGTTGCTTATAACTATTATTTCCATAGTTAGTAGACACTATCAGAAGAAATAAAAAAAAAATTCCAAAAAGAAAAACTTCAAATGGGTATTCATGTTTTTCATTTCATGAAGTAATAGTTATCATTCAGAAAAGTCTGTCGTTGTCAACACATAATTCCAGTTGTGTGTGAATTAAAGAGTCCACATTGTGGTTAAGTTGAGATGGAATTCAGGAAACACTGGATAAACGTCATCGCTGGTGATGAGAAATGTGGCAAGTTCATCTTTATAATGGTGATTTTGGTAATGTACACAATACGTTGAACTGTTGCTCTCCGAAAAAAAATGTTTTGACAGACTGGAGAGCTACAGTGCCACACATTGAAAAAACTATATTTATTGCACGCAAAAAGTGTACTGTTACTTGATTTATTTTTCCATGTTTTTAAACTGTCATCTCAAAATATTACTATTAACCGCGTGTTCCTAACATATTATTTTACTTATTCCACAACAAAACATCCATTAAAATTGTTGTTAATAGCCTTCCTGGCCCTGAAATCAAGTTATCTTCAGGAAATTTTGTCGACACATAATTCCAGTTGTGTGTGAATTAAAGAGTCCACATTGTGGTTAAGTTGAGATGGAATTCAGGAAACACTGGATAAGCGTCATCGCTGGTGATGAAAAATGTGACAAGGTCATCTTTATAATGGTGATTTTGGTAATGTACACAATACGTACCTATTGCTATCCGAAAAAAAATGTTTTGACGTTCGAGAGCTACATTACATTTGAAAAAACTATATTTATTGCGCACAAAAAATGTACTGTTACTTGATTTATTTCTCCATGTTTTTAAACTGTCATCTCAAAATATTACTATTAACCGTGTGTTCCTAACATATTATTTTACTTATTCCACAACAAAACATTCATTAAAATTGTTGTTAATAGTCTTCATGGCCCTGAAATCAAGATCTTCGAAAATTTTGTCTATTTATACTGCCCCTTTGGTTTGCAAGATCATTTGGTCCAACTTGCTTCCTGCAGATGTCAACTTCAAGAGTACTTGAAAGAGGATTAAGGAATTTTTGATTTTTTTCAGTCATTGAGTCCTCTACCAAAACTTTGAAAATTTTTCATGGCTGCCCCTTTGGTTTGCAAGATCATTTGGTCCAACTAGGGTGGGGCTAGATGTCAACTTATATAGTGAAAAGCATTAATTTTTGAAATCTATCTTTTTTCCTGGGTATCAAATAAACTAACTAAGTACATAGTTATGTTCGCCGCACGTTAACATTTGAACATTTTCAGCTTCTTCTCTGAAACCACTGAACAAATTTCAACCAATTTTGGCATATAGCATCTATAGGTGAAGGGGAACAAAAATTGTGATTTTCATGGTCCCTGTCCCCCTGGGGATGGGTCGATGGGGCCAAAACCATTAAAATTAGTGCAATCTTTTAAAATCTTCTTCTTTACTCCTGGACATCAAGCAGTCAAACTGTTGGAATGATTGTTATCAGCATTGAGTCCTCTACCAAAATTGTGAAATTCATGGCCCCAGGGTCAGGGGTTCTAGTGCTAGGGCAGGGCTATATTGATTATATAGTGAAAATGCATTATTTCTTTGAAAATCTTCTTCTCTGTTCCTGAGTATCAAATAAACTAAATAAGTACATAGTTATAATGAGCAAGAGTGTCTCTTCTAAAATTGTGAATTTTGTGGGCCCAGGCTCAGGGGTTCTGGTGTTAGGGTGGGGCTCTATTGATTACACATGTGTATAGTGAAAAATGCATTAATTTTTTTGAAAATCTTTTTATGTGCTCCTGAGTATTAAATAAACTAACTTAGTACATAGTTATGATGAGCAAGAGTGCCCCTATCAAAATTTTGAATTTGGCTCCAGGGTCAAGGGTTCTGGTGTTAGGGCGGGGCTGTATAGTGATTATAAAGTGAAAATATATTATTTGAAAATCTTCTTCTCTGCTCCTGGGTAATAAACAGATGAACTACTGTACCTATATAGATATGATTTGCAAGGGTTCTTCTTCCAGATTGTGAATTTCCAGGCCCCTGAGTCAGGAATACCATGGGGGGGGGTCTACTTATATACTGAAAATGAATTGTTTGAAATCTGCTCCATGGTATTAATCAAACATTTTTGATAAGGAAGTGTGCTGTTTCAAAAGTTTTGCAATATGTGGACCTAGGTTCAGGGGTTCATGTGTGATAGGGGCACTTCTGATTATTGCTGAATATTACTGATTAGTTGATATGCATTTTTTGTTCCCCTACCCTGCCTATGGGTATTAAGGAGGCTAAGTAACCAAACCAATTGCTAAGCTCATAGTTATGATTAGCAATGGTGCCAACCTCTTTCAAAATTGTGAATCCCATAGCATCTACCTTAAAACATAAACCAAATTCTATCATTTGAAAGTTGTTGCATGATTCTCAGGTGACCTATAAGGCCCATGGGCCTCTTGTTTACGATTGAGGTAAGAATTTGGAAGAATAAATCCAGTATACTAAGCGCAACTTTTTGTGCACAATAAATGTACAGTTTTTACAACGGTGGCACTGTAGCTCTGCAGTCTGTCAATATATTTTTTTCGGAGAGCTTACAGTTCTGCAGCTAGGTTATCACTGGTGATTGTTGTACATGAAGGACCAAATTTTCAATAATGATTGGTATATGAAGTAATATCTGGTGATTGTGGTACACGGATTGGGGGGATCCGACTGTCTAATTAAAACAAAGCATTGGGATGGCCATCACCTGGTGTTGATGGAATGTGATTTCGACTGAAAAAACCCCCGGTATATTTATTGTCGGAAAAAGTGAAAAATGTCACCACCCTAAAAATTTCCACGTGAAGAAAAATTTGAAAAATGACTCATGTGGATTAAAGCTGAAATTTTTAGGGGGCAAAAAAAAATTAGATAAAAAAAGCATATTGACCAAAATGCTTACCTGAGCTAATTAGGAATAAATTGATGATATATTTGTTGATCTCATAACATTATACAATTATAGTTATATTTTAAGGTCAATGCGATGATTCAGTGAGTAATTTTAAGTGACTTATGAGGTAAACATTGTTTTACGATGGTGGAAATCATGGAACTGGAAAAAAAATCAGCAGTATTATTATATATAATTATACTGGTGAAAAACGGGAGGGTATATATGATTACTGGTGATTGCTTTGGTACACTCCTCTTATATATAAAAAGATGTGTTTGTGAAACAACAATGCCCCTGTATGGCAACATAGCTAAGATTAAACTTTTCTTAAACGCAATTTAAATATATTGGTACCCAAATTAGGGTCTTCTCACAAGAAATACAATTACAAAATAGAAAAGCCCTAGCACCACTTGTTCAAAAGTAATGGCTAAGGATAAGATTTTTGAAAGGTAGGTCAAACTCAAAGTTCAAAGGGTCAAAGTTGATGTTTTTTTAAGAAAGGTTTAATGAAACAAGGATTACGTATGTGAAGTATGAAAACCCTGCCCTTCATTCAAAAGTTATGGCCAAGGTTACAGTTTTTTTCAAGAACCATCTCCAAGGTGGTCAAAGTTTTTAGTATCCAATGACAGGTCATGGCAAAAAAAAATACATTTGTGAAGTATGTGACATGATCATTACCGTTTGAAAGTTATGGCAAAAGTAAAAATTTGGCATTTCTGTGTAAAATGACAAACTCCAAGGTAAAGGTCAAAAGGTCAAATTTTTGGTACCCAAAGGAAGGTCTTGTCACAAGGAATACACATATTAAATATGAAAGTCATAGCTCCAATAAATGAAAAGTTATGGTCAAGGTTAAAGTTTTTACATGACAGACTGGTGATTGACAGACATACAGACAGACACGATTACTATATAATCTTGATTACGGGGACATAAAAAGAAATGGTTTTCAATTAACTTTTCATATTATGATACAGTATAAAGACATGATCAAAAATGAAAATGTTTGTTCTGATTTTCATATTAAATTCATGAAAAATATACTCAGTGATAAAAGGGTGGTAAAACAAGAATTAAGAAATGTAATGAATACTGTGTGCTAAATCAAAAGGTTATGTCTACATGTATAGTTTTTGCATAAGAATGTGTATTTTACACTAGCCCATAGCTTTACAGAGCATATTTTTAGGTGTTATACCCATTCCACCCCCTTACTTATTTAGGAAGAAGTCGATTATCAACAAAAGCAACAAAAAAAAAACAAACAAACTACCCTACCTTTATTTTTCTACAAGGAGGGACTAAAAATAAGCTTAAAATAATCTACTATTCAACTAATTTTCAACTGTTACTTTGCCACAATACTTTCAAGTATATCTCACTTGAAAATGTTCATTGCAAGTCTGGTTGTTGTACCGAAAAAGATATAAAAAGATTATGTATTTGCAAAGATTTAAAATATCTTTAATCATATAGTGATAGTCTGCATGTATAGGATGGAATATATAAAAAAATATACAGCATCGAGGGTGTCATCCGTTTCACTTTTACATGTCATGAAACCTTATTGATTGAACAAATTACTTATTTGCACATGATATTATTCCGTCTGCTACAAATTTCTACTTTTTCCCAACACTGAAACAACGTATCAATGGAGTCAGTGAAAAAAAAAATATATTCATAAATTTCATCTGTGCGTTTGATCCATTTACATGTGATCTTTGATTTTCTAGGTTTGCTCCTTTATCAGAGAAATGAAGATTAATTGATTGATTGTAAATTGCATAAAACTGAGTTGTCAATATTTCGGCAGAGAGAATGTGGAACTTTATTTATACGTGCTAGCCTAAGAAGAACAATGATAATAACTGAACAAATGCATGAATTGTGAAGAAAAATTATAATATGAACATATTTTTCCCTTTCACACCTGTTATAAAATTTGTATCACTTTAATTAAAGGGGGTCATTTTTACTGGGGGTGATTGTGTTATAGGATGACATATAAAATAATGACTATGTGATTGTGGTACAAAAAATGATTTTTTTTACGGGTGGGGGGTCATTTTTTGTCGTTGAAAAATGACCCCCGGTCATTATTCGATGGGGGTCATTATTCGTCTTTACACCGTCACCTGGTGTTGATGGAATGTGATTTCTGTAAAAACTGTATATTTATTGTCAAAGTGAACGTGACATGGTCATTTCCAGTGAATGTAGTATTTGACATGATCATTGCTGGTGATTGTGGTACATGACATGATCATAACTGGTGATTGTGGTATGGGACATGATCAATACTGGTGATCGTGGTATGTGACATGATCATTACTGGTGATTGTGGTATGTGACATGATCATTACTGGTGACTAGTTCATATGATTACAGGTGATTGTGGTACATTTAAACATGATGTGATTGTTAATGGTATCTGACATGATCATTACTTGTGAAAATGGTGCATGACATGATCATTACTGGTGATTGTAGTACAGATCTTGATCATGTAATTGGTGATTGTGGTACTGGCGATTGTGATATGTGTCATGATCATTACGGATGACTATGGTACATGACGTGATCATTACTGGTGATTGTGGTACATGACAAGAATATTTCCGGTGATCGTGGTACCTGACATTATCATTGTTCATAATTGTGGTATGTGACATGATCATTACTCATGATTGTGGTACATGACATGATCATTGCTGATGACTGTGCATGATCATTTTTGGTAAATGTGGAACATTTAATGATCATTGCTAGTATTTTGATATCTGACATGATGACTGGTGATTGTGATACGTGACATGATTACTGGTAATTGTGGGTACTTGACATGATCATTACTGGTGATTGTGGTACATGACATGATCATAACTGATGATTGTGATATGTGACATGATCATTACTGGTGATTGTGGCATGTGACATGATCATTACTGGTGATTGTGGTACATGACATGATCATTAATGGTGATTGTGGTACATGACATGATCATAACTGGTGATTGTGGTATGGACATGATCATTACTGTGACATGATGACTGGTGTGTGGTATGTGACATGAACATTACTGGTGATTGTGGAACATGACATGATCACTACTGGTGATTGTGGTACATGACATGATCACTACTGGTGATTGTGGTACCTGACATGATCATAACTGGTGATTGTGGTACATGACTTGATCATGATTGGTGATTGTGGTACATGACATGATCATTACTGGTGATTTGGTTCAGGATTATTACTGGTGATTGTGGTACATGACATGATCATTTCCAGTGAATGTAGTATTTGACATGATCATTACTTGTGATTGTGGTGACATGATTACCTTGAACCATGTTTCTAGGGTCAAAGGTCAAGGTCATAGCAGAATTATATGAAAAATCTTTGTCCGGATCATACTCTCTCTTTGGCCCAAGTTGGCTCGTATTTCACCCACAGAGTGCCTGTGCAGTGACCTTGAACCATGTTTCTAGGTCAAAGGTCAAGGTCATAGCAGTATCATATGAAAAATCCTTGTCCACATCATATTTTCTCTCTCCTTGGCCCAATCTGGCTCATACTTCACTCAGAGTGCCTTTGGGTGAAAGATGTGCAGTGACCTTGAACCATGTTTCAAGGCCGAAGGTTAAGACCGTAGCAGAATTATGTGAAAATCCTTGTTTAGAGCATATTTCTCTCCTATTAATCCAATGTTGCTCATACTTCACTCACAGAGTGCCTTTGGTCAGTGAATACGCAGTGACCTTGAACAAAGTTTCTAGGTCAAAGGTCAAGGTCAAAAATAGCCTCTCTTTAAAGTCTTTGTTTGCTGCATAATTTTTTCCCCTTAATTCCACTCAGCCTCAAACAAATTGACTGGATATGGAACATTTGTGATTTTCCTTCCATATTATGATAGAAGATATGCAACACTTTTCATAGAGGATACATTTCTTAATTTTTTAATTGTATTATTTTTCAGGGAGTAATTCTTTTTGTCCCTTTTAATCTCAAACACCTTCAAAATAAACCCTTTTCAGCTAGTTACATTTTTTATGTTCATTGCTTAAAGCGGGGCCCTTTGAGATGGCCACCATCTCAATGATATCTAGTTATTGGTGATTGTGGTACATGACATGATCATTACTGATGATTTTGGTACCTGACATGATCATTACTGGTGATTGTGGTACTTGACATGATCATATATTATGATAAGTACACTTGTATGTTTTTCAAGAAAGTAAGAATATTTAGGTAAAGATTTATTACATTGTATTTAATTGTCTGTGTGCTATGAATAATCCTGCAAACTTTCTGACTGAAGTGCTATGAATAATCTTCCTGATTTAATCAGAAGACAACCTAGTACTGTAAATCACTTTTTATTCGTGAGAACTTTATTTTCGCGTAATTACGCGAGAAGGTATGCTCGCGAAAATGTCATACTTACGTATAAAAGAATTCCTAAAGATTATATAGAAAATTACCACAATTCGTGAAAATTTTGTCTCGCTAATAAAGAGTCAATGGCTATCTCACGAAAATAAGGTGTCGCGAAAATGAAGTGATCTACAGTATGTTAGCAAGAATTTCTATTTTGGAAGTATGGAATATAGGCCTATACTAATGTTCCAATCCACTCCCAAAATTCTGGAAGTTTGCCTCAGAAATGAGTTTTTCCATAGACAAGTTAAAAGAGAAGTCAGAAATATTATACAGTAAACTTTATTCTTTATCCTTTAAGTTGTATTTAAACTGATGGCACATTTGTTGTATGACAATAATGTGATATTTTGCACATAAAACATGAAATGATGACACTTAACTTTGAGGCAGTGAAAAAATACAAAATTTGTAGAAGAACAGTAAAACTGGTTATTGATATAAATATGTAGTACATACATATAGATATGTAACATGTACTGCCAGTGAATAAAATATGCTGAATTGGTGGCAAATAATTAGTTTATATAATAAGGCAATTTTTTTTCACAAGAGAAAATAATAAAATTCAAATTATGTAACAGAAGCAAAAAGTATTAAAAGTAAGTTTGAGAACAAGTTTAAAACAATGCTTTATATCATTTTTAATAACTTTCTATTTCCAATAGATGTTTTTTTCTATAAAGTTCTAAAATTTTCCCTGTTAATAAATTTTAAAGAAACACTTCTACCACAAAATACAATTTTCTATCGTGGCAAAAGAAAGTGTTTGAAATTAGGCACTAGCAAAACTGAACAAATGAGGTAGTGAATAGAGAGATAATTAGATTTATAATACTGTAAAGCACGAGTATACGTATAAGGAAGCTACAGCTTCAAAAGATTTTGCAACAAACAGTTCAAATGTTTCAAAAATTGAAGACATTATAAATTTCTCACTTTTAAGGACTGAAAAATTTCCAGGTTTGATTTATTTCAACCAAAAAATGGCTTATGCATAACATTTTAACACTTTAAGTGTCAAAGTATCTAACAACCTAAAAAATTATTTTCAGTGGAACTTGTCTAATGCAAATGTTGTTTTATCCCAAGATCTTGCCTATTACAATGAAAATTTATAGTTCTTAGTCTTCAGATAAATTTTCATTGTAGTAAAAATATGTAGATTATTCCAAAAGTTTGTTTTAGCTAATCACTTTCTTCAGAAACCAGTGGTGTCCAGATATTAGGACAATGTTTCAAATAAATAATGAGAACTGGTCATACTCAAATAATAAAGATACTATATATAGCTACATTGTAAACATAGAACAGCATAACGTTAAATATCAGCAGAACTCAAAGGATAAAAAAGTGAACAAAAACACAAATTTTGCCAACAGTTTTGAGACATCCACTACAACAAGTATTAAAAAATAAAACTTGGGACGGATTTCTATAGCAGAAAAAAATATATACATCATTTTATGACCATAAATGGGCAAATATAGTTCTGTAGAACTCAAAATATAGTTCTTAGCGAACCAAAATGCAAGACATTTATATCCCATACATTGATACGGTGAAAATTTAAAAACTATATGAATTGTAAGTCCTTTTTTTATTGGTATAATTTCTTTTAAAGGTTTTAAACATTAAGAGTATTCAGTCATTTTGAGCATACCGGTATATCTACTGAACTTAGCTTCAACTTATTTTGTCAAGTTTAACTATAAAACATTAAAAAGACAGGTAAGAGGAAAGTATCAGAACATATTTATAATTTTTTTTTCTTTCATAATTTTCTTATGACCTTTACTTGTTCTGTAACCATTAAAATTATCAATAGGTTCAGGAGATTAACTTGGCACAACTGTAAATGATATGTTAAGGTTAATCTCGAAAAGAATATTGGTTCATAACCAAAAAGGTATTTAAAAACTAAAATATTAATTGAAGGTTAAATTATGACCTAAATATGTATTTTTATTACTAAATAATGCTTTTGTAAAATAATAAATGTTATAGGATATGACATATGCAATATACTGATATGCTTGTTAAATGGGTTAAGTTTAAATATACATGTATAACATAGTATGTAGAGCCTGGTGTAAAACAGATATGTAAGTCCTCAGCTAACTATCAACACTGAACAAAAATCTCAGTCTCTTCAATGACCACTAATGAATCACAAAACTGAACATTTGGCATAAAAAAGATCAAATTACATACACCCCCCTTTCTCTTGCTCTCATAATATGCACTCTACTCATTTGAGTAAACAAACTCTCTCACTTAAAGCAAAAGCATTTTTACATAGCACAATTCATCAATGAACTCAATTTCCAGCCACAAAATAATTTCAGTCTCGATTTGTTCTATAGTCTCCGGTGAGACGAGGCTTGCCACTTTTGACAGGTTTAAGGTCCCCCTGATCACGCGGTGTGTGGGAGTAGAGGTCAGGATGGTCCTCCCCTAAAACTGACCCAGGGCGAGACAGCCACCCCGGTCTTAAGTCCATACCAGAACCGGCACCCAGGCGAGCGTCAGTTTCTGACTTATTATGGTATGGCCAAAGAGAGTCCATGCCTTGTTGCTGACTAAGATAGTGAGGCTTCTGAAGAGGTTGTAAACGGGTTCCCTAGACAAGACAGAAATTAACATTTTACAGTTTAAAATAAAAAAAAATTCAGTTTTAAAAATTATTTAAAAAATAAAAATTTCTAATGTTGATGCAACTATAAAATGTACTATTGCTATCATATACATGTAATTCAAAATAAATTTTAGAATAGTCGGAATATGTTTCTTCTGGAACATAAAACATTTTAATTAAAATAAAAACAAGAGGCCCATGGGCCACATCGCTCACCTGAGAAGCTTTGACCATTCTGTTCTTTACCAGATTTCCCCCTTGTTATACATAATGCATCCCCACCCTACCCCACTGATCATAATTTAGACATTTTGAAATCTACACTACCCCATGATCCTTCCATGGACACATATGTTTCAGCTTTTTTGGCCCAGTGGTTCCTGAGAAGAAGATTTTCAAAGATTTTTCCTATATATTTCTATGTAAAACTTTGATTCCCTATAATGACCCCGCCCTTCCCCTGGGGTCATGATTCCTACAATTTAGAATTTACACTACCCCAGAATGCTTCCACATAAGCTTCACTTTTTCTGGCCCCATGGTTCTTGAGAAGAAGATTTTCAAAGATTTTTCCTATATATTTCTATATAAAAATTTGATTCCCCATTGTGGCCCCGCCCTTCTCCCGGGGGTCATTATTTGAACAATTTAGAATCTACATAATACCAGGATTCTTCCACATAAGTTTCAGCTTTTCTGGCCCAGTGGTTCTTGAGAAGAAGATTTTCAAAGATTTTTCCTATATATTTCTATATAAAAATTTGATTCCCCATTGTGGCCCCGCCCTTCTCCTGGGGGTCATTATTTGAACAATTTAGAATCTACATAATACCAGGATGCTTCCACATAAGTTCCAGCTTTTCTGGCCCAGTGGTTCTTGAGAAGAAGATTTTCAAAGATTTTTCCTATATATTTCTATATAAAACTTTGATTCCCCATTGTGGCCCCGCCCTTCCCCCGGGGGTCATGATGTGAACAATTTAGAATCTACACTTTACCAGGATGCTTCCACATAAGTTTCAGCTTTACTGGCCCAGTGGTTCTTGAGAAGAAGATTTTCAAAGATTTTTCCTATATATTTCTATATAAAACTTTGATTCCCCATTGTGGCCCCGCTCTTCCCCCGGGGGTCATGATTTGAACAATTTAGAATCTACACTACCTCAGGATGCTTCCACATAAGTTTCAGCTTTACTGGCCCAGTGGTTCTTGAGAAGAAGATTTTTTAATGACCCAACCCCATTTTTGTCTTTTCTTGATTATCTCCCCTTGCGAGGGGATATGGCCCTTCATTTTAACAATTTAAATTCCCCTTCACCCAAGGATGCTTTGTACCAAGTTTGGTCAAAATTGGCCCAGTGGTTCTTGAGAAGAAGTCGAAAATGTGACAAGTTTACAGACGGACAGACAGCTAGACAGACAGACGGACGGACGGACGGACAGCTAGACGGACGGACGACGGACAAAATGTGATCAGAAAAGCTCACTTGAGCCTTCGGCTCAGGTGAGCTAAAAACTGATTTCAGGTGATACAAATTAAGGTTATCCGATCCTCAGGTTCTGAAAATCAGGCATTGAGTAATTGAAAATGATCACAAAAATGTCTCTAAATTCTCAAATTAAAATGTATTTACCCACGGTGTTTCTTTAAACTTCATCTTTAAATTTAATCATATTATATAGGGAACATTAGTAAATCTCAAATATTTTTTCAGGAAATGCGATTTGAACTACCTACTGCATATTTTTTAATTGATAATTGATCAAGAAATACATTTTAGGAATAAAAATCATAGGTATCCAGGCTTTTAAAGAAAATTGCATGAATTATACACTTATTTGGACTTTACTTTCTCCTACTTACTTCCATTGTTTCATAATGCATGGTGTATGAAGTGCTTCCTTTCAAAGAAAACACCGTAAATCACTTCTAATTTCAAGTCATGCATAAAAACATTGGTAACTAAGGCTAAATGAAAAGAAATTTGATTTTTTTTTAAATATGCAAGTTTTACTTCATTTAATTAAGTTAAATGTCAACTTTTTAAATACCGTTTGTTAAAACTTTAAAGAACATTGAATCATACGTAGAGACATAAAATGAAAATTGTTGCATGAAAAAATTTCAATTTCAAGCTTTATTTTAAGACTTTTTGAATTAAATTATAAATTAAAGAGTTATCCTTCCTGGCTGAGGATCGTATATCCTTAATATTAAATTATACACTCTAGATAAATAAAGATATAAACTTACCTTATCAATAGGAGTCTTTGTTCGTTTCTGGATATTGACTTGACTTTTTTCGTATCGATGTTTGTTGTCGTAAATATCCTTATAATCCCGTCCAGAATTCTGTAGGGGTTCCCTGGCTGAGATTTGGCCGTCGTTTTCATCCTCGATGTCATAATCCATTCGACTGGCTCTCGATGGCGTCATTAGGAGTCGGCTCGTGGGAGTCATCCTTCCTGCATTCTCATTGGCCAGGATCTAGGTCAAGAAATTACAAAACAAGGTTTGAGATTTTTGGATTGTTTAGCTAAAAGAAAATTTCACTTATGTAACACCACTAATAATTGAGATAGTTTGAAACTGTCCTTCAATATTGCATAATTGTTAACATGAGAAATGCTATTCTTTTCTACGATGAGCTAAATCTAAATAATCTTTGAAAAGACTGAGAAGGAAATCTGGCAGAAAAAGAGGTGCTTGAAGTAAAATTGAGGAATTAACTGGTTATGTGCATCTAAGGTAACTGATATTCTCCGTACATTAGCTATACTTTCTTCTAAATTATAAATGGGCAGTGTGGAACAAAATACACCTTCATTTCTGTAATACTTTTCCACATTTTTTTTTCAATTGGTTTTAATAAAGAAAAAGACATAAAAACACCTAAAAACTAGAGTAAATTTTCTAAAGTTTGCCTTGACAAAAAATTCTATCAAATTCTGTAGGATTAATACACTATGAGTAAATCTACAAACTGTTTACGATTTAAAATGTTATATACCTGGACGGTTCTCAAAGGGATATTGTTTGCTAAGACCTACAATTGCCAAACAGTAGATCCTTCAATGAAACTTATAGATAAACTGAACTAGTAATATTGCTTATCATTGTCTAAAAGATTTTCCTTTTGATTAACAATATCAGTTACTATATAAAGAGATAAAAAAAATATCCTATAATAAAACAAAAATGTACATAAGTTTTAAAGTAATACTTCAGTTTGTATATTGCTGACAAAGTAAAATACTACACTAAGAGCCCTCTGTTCAGAATATACCTACACTCAAATTCTTTTTCCTTACACCCCTATGTTTAAGATGGGATTAAGTCTTTTAGCTGCAGAACTGTAGCTCTTCAGACAGATAAACCAGAATGCTACAGATCCCACTTGCTTAAAACCTCCCCCAACAATATCCCTTGTAAAAAAAAAAGATCTTTCTGACATAAGACCATTTAGATTTAAGCATTTAGTCTGTCCCTTACCTGGAGAAACTTTTTCTTTTTCTTCTTTTTTGCTAGCTGCTGAAGAGTATTATTTGTACTGTTGCCCCATTCTGTGTTCGTGGAGTCAGCTTGCCGCCTGTGGTAATGTAAATATTTTCTGATATACTTGGAAGAAATTTTACTCTAACTTCAACAAATAAATATAATTATGTATCATTTTAACTTAAAAAATTTTGGGGAGTGATACATGATACATTTTTCGAAAATACCATTAGGTGTACGTTTATTTCGTTTTCTCATTAGCTGTTAATATACTGTGACCACTTTGATTTGTGACTTACCAAGATGAGTTATCAGGCTGGGGAAACATACGCTGATGTTGGTACCCACCTATCCCTGGCTGTTCTGAGTTGAGGGACATGTACTTGCTGTGAGAACGACCCTGAACGGGGGGCCCACCCATATTTATGTTGCTCTGTTCTCGATGGAAAGACAAGTCTACAATGTAAGAACCATGTAAAATAAATAATCAAATCAATGCTTGCCATACACAAAATATGCTGCACTCTGTAACAAAAATTTAACTTATTTACCATTTAATCACATTTGTACATGCAGATATGCTTTCACTAATAGTATTTCATTTATCAGCTCATAATGGTAAAAGAAGAAGGTACAGTTTCAATATAAATCTCGCCCTGTGATTTTCTTAAAAATAAATCTGATGTAAAAAAATGAAAACTTATGTATTTTGAATTATTGAAATTCCATGCATAAAAATTATACAAATCATTTTTCTGACATGCATTTCTACATGCTAATTGTGACGTCATAAACATGTGCATTTTCCCGTATTTTCTTAAAATGTTGCAGAAGACAACAATTTTCAATGGAATTTTCTTTCAGAAAACATTGTCCACAGGCATCGCCCACAAAAATTTTTGGATATGTGATTTTTCATTGTATTTTACACAACATATCCAAAAACTAAAGTGGGCGACAGCTGTGGACACTATTTTCTAAAGGAAAATTCCCCTTGAAATTGGTCATTTTGAAGCTTTTTCTGTTTGAAATAGATAAATACATCAAATTAATGACGTCATATTTCCAGAATGGTACTCCTTTATGCCAAATTCTTTCCTGACCTTTCATAGTCATAAACTCAACTAATATTTAAGCCAGATTCATAACTTTTTGAAAACATTTAATTTTTAGGGCACAATAAAGCAAAAACCATACCTTCTTCTTTAGAAAACAAAACTCCTAACTGTACATTATTTTGCATGTTATTTTACTCAAAGAAGCGAGAAAATGACAATTTAAATTGTGCAGTTTTCAAAAATCTGATTAAATATAATCTAAAAGAGTCTGAGATAAACATTGCTGAATATGTAAAAATGACTAAGTTGCACATAAAATTCTGAAGAAATTGTGTGGGAATTGAGCTAAAAGCATTATGTGTTACATGGATAATTTATAAATTTTTAAAAATAATTAAATAAAGCTTTATATTTCCAATCAAATTTGGTAATTAGCCATTTAAAAACTGTAAGCATCGATACATTGCATGAATTACATTTATTTCTTAATGTTTCTAAATAAAGTTAACATATTTAGTCATTACTTCTTGTATGCATTCTAATGGTTTAAAAGTTAAGTAACCACAATTTAACTGAAATTGAGTTCTAATTGATAAACTTTTCAAGGATAACTTGTTTTCAATTTTATAATATTATTTAAGACTAAAAGCAAATTTTAAGTGTAATTGGCTGAAAGATTTTAATTTGCCACAATATTCATCTAAGAGGCAAAAAAAGCAAATGTCCAGTTACAGTCACTAAGCCATAGTTACCAACAACACTTAGGGTCAATGTCCCTGCAATGGAAGGTGATTAAAATTTCTCACCCAAAAAACTAGTTCAGGATAAAAAACACAATTACATAGGCAACAAGGTATGGAATGGGTTTTTCCTATGGCAAAAGCAGAGAAGGACAGAATTCTGGGAACTCTAACCAGGGTTACAAAACAAGCATTCATATACTGGTACTTAGATTCTTATAATTTCACAAGCAGAAGCTCCCAATTGGAAAATTGTAGGGATAATAAATATGTATGTGTAATATTAACCTACTAGCAAAACAAAATTTATTAAACATATCATTAACAGTATTCCAATCTAAATGGGCTTCATCTTTAAACTTATTACTTTTGACTATTTTTCCAAGAAGAAATTAAAATTCAGTGACCTAAGGCTTAGAGAGGGCAAGCATCTACAGAAGAAACATCTGAATTCACAACAAATTCTGTTGAACAGTGAAAAACGCCAAAATCTAGTGCAGTTCTGGATTTAAAACACAGCAGGATCAAGGTTGTTTCTGTTAAAGGGTCAAGGTAAAAGAAAGAGAAGCTGACCCCATGACAAAAGTTCAGAGTGCAAGTTTCCATGGCAACCAATACCTGGAGATGGGCTGTATGTGCTACTTTCCCTCATGGACAAACTTCCATCTGTTAAACACATAAGTTTTCATCAACTCTCAATTCATTTAAATTGAAAACATTTGCTTAAAATCTTGTTTTATCACATGTAAATAATAAAAGAAATCTAGCATATGATTGTTTTTCCAAAAAATAAAAAAAAATGTGGGATATAAACTTTTGAAGGGTGACTTTTAAAAAGTAGATGAATATGACAGAAAACACTCATAGTCTTATACATTGTTGGGAGGTTAAATGCCAAAATGAAAGTAAAAACAAAGTGCAAAATTTGATTTTCAAACATCACACATAATATACATGTATATCTGGCAAAGAAAAAAATATATGTATAATTATGTTTATGTCTCAAGCAAAGTATGAAAACACCACGTCAGCTGTGATCCCCTTCACCTAGAGCCAACACAAACTCTGAATCAGACCTGTTTGCTGTATTAACAATTTTTTATCAATATCTTCCTTGGTAGGTCTATGACTATCTGTCACAGTGACAGGGTGGGCGTGGCTTTCATAATTACTATCGGCCACTGATCGCTCCCTCAACAAAATAAAGGGGTGTGCCCTTCTATCTGTACCTTTAATTGTAATTTTTGAAAAACAATTACTTTGTATTGAAATGCACATTATAATAATTATATATGAAATACCTATTTACAGGGGTATTTTCACCCTGTATTATTTTTGCCCTTCCACACTTACAAACAACTGTATACAAGGAAATTTTTGCCTGTTTTATTTTTGCGACTTTCGTCCTCTTCATGATTGGGTAAATTTACAATGAGGCGAATTAAAAAATAACAGCATAGTGTCTTAAACAGAACTATGATTGGGCTAATTTAAACAGGGCAAAATTGTTTACAAGTGCAAAAGGATGAAAATAACCCTGTATCTGCTTTAACACTTTGTATTCACTGATTTAACGAATGAGAAACATTTCCATCTTATCTCATAAATTTCAATCAAGAGATAACATAATAATCATCAAATAATTATATATTTTCATTTTTATTTTTATGATTTACTAATTTTTTTAAACCCTCAAAAATAAAATAAAAATCACAATGTGATGTCATGCTTATATTGTTAGATATATATAGGTATACAAAAACACTACTAGGAAGCATATGGTTATTGTTTAACAGGACTGCTGTTATGTACTTGACAATTTACATGATGGTCAGGTCTATACAATAGAAATCTCTTGCTGCTCTATCATTTAATACAATCGGGATTAGATTTTTAAAATACACTATTTTTCCTGGACACCTACCGTAGTTTTCCCTGCGGTTGCGTTTAACAGACTGTTTAGTTCCATAGTTGATAAAGCTGCTTTCCCTGTATTTGTTTGTGTTGTATGAAGGTAATGAAACATCTGGATTCTGCAACTGAAACACACATACAATCATGAACAAAATAATTCCAATAGAAATCCTTTGGTTTTTTTCTGAAAAATATATTTTTAAAAGTTTACAGAGTTGGGTACCTCATCAATAATTTGTTTCCTACCTTTGCATCTGAGAGACGATCTGTGATTGTCTGGATAAAAGAACCCTGATGATTTTTGTCGTTGCTCTTTTTCCGCATTGTGCTGGACTTTATACGGTGAAGTTCTTCCTGCATTGCCTTATCCAAAAACTACAACAGTAATAAACCATACAGTACAATTCATTAAAAACAAATAAATTTGCTTTAATCAAATTTTCAAAAACTTGAACTTTACAGTTTCATTCATAATTATTATGAAAGAGAGGCTGACCTTTCTCCGCTCGTGTTGAGGACTATTTGTCTCCCTTTGCTGAGATTCCTGGTTTTCGGTGTTGGGTGCTTGTAAATTAACAGTGTAAGTACTAGACCTATTGGTGTTGATAAAAAGACTAGATTTGGGGTCCCTAGGGGTCACTGTGGGGGAATCAGGCTCAAGGAGCTTTCCAATCTTTAAGTCAGGAGGAGGCACCACTTTGACACTGTCTTTGTTTTTTAAGTATTTTGACTCACTATGAGTAATGGCAAACTCCAGGGGGTCATAAGAGGTCCCACTGGTATCTGTTGTGGTGGAGGTGTAGGTCCCTGAAGTTGCACTTGAGTCCTCAGTGGACATCCCACTGAATGAAGAAGAGTCCATACTGTTGTCCAATCCAAAATGGTGGACATCAGAGAATGTGCTTCCATGTTTGGTGTCACTTGTGATTTTCAATGTTTTATTGTCTATTGTGGTGACTTTTTCCACTTTGGGAGTTTTAGCCCTATATTGTGTTGAGTCAGAGGGTGCAACTTTTTCTGAGGATGTATTGCCATTTGTAAGATTCAGTTTCAAGTCAGCAGTAATCACATTTCTCTCCCTTTCTTTCGCACTTGCTCTTTCACTTTGAGAATTTTTTGACACACTCGCACTTGCCCCGCCTTTTTCCGTTTTCTCCCCCTGACTACTTTTATGAGTATCCAGAACAGTACTTGATTGGGTTGTACCCTTCCCTGACTTATTCCCTTGTGATGACTTAGCCCCGCCCACTTTCTGTGAGGCAGATTTAGGGGGAGGGGCCTCAATAATTGTACTGATATGTTTTTCCACTTTCTGGCTGTCTTTCTGAGCTTTAGCATCGCTCTGGTTATTTAGCTTGTCAGCGTTACTTTTAGACACATTTTTAGCCTGCTTTATATATTTGCTGCGGGCTGGAGAATTATAAATATCATCTTCTGTGTCCATTTTTTCCTCCTGTCTCTCGACTATCACAACAGCACGAGGTGGGTCATTAGTGTCACCCGAATCAGGACGACTGTTTTGCATATTTTTTAGATTCTCACTGGAAATAAAAAATTAAAATGGTAATGTCAGGGCAGTCTGAAAATATTTTTATAGATTTGTTGCTATGTTATTGAGACCAGCCCTCTCCCTTTGAAGAATATTAATAATTAACAACTAACATTTGAAAAGTTATTTTACAATGTCTCTCTTCCTTAAGATAGAATTTCAAAGGGGAAAAACAGTGAAATTCAATATACAATTTTAAATGGAACATTTAAAAAGATTAAATATTCATGACTGTTTAAATTTATTACATTTTTGAAGTTAATTTTGAGGAGTCGTCTAGACTTCAATAGAAATCTCTGTTACTATAGAACAGATCCTGTTTGTTTTCTGACTGCTGTGTTTTGTGATTGTTTGGGTCTCTCCAAGGACTAGACCTTTAATAGTCCACCCAATCACATCAAGTCTTAATCCAAAGACTGAAGTCAACTCGACACTTTTAAATCGGCTGACCATAATGCCAATTAAACGATTTACCTACTTATTAAATGTTTGATCATATTACTTAAAAGTGAGAACAAAAAATTAATAAAATAATAGCATGTAAGTTCAGATTGAAGATTTTGTAAACAAAGGTTTAAAAAGCATTGGATTAACACCTTTAGCAATTTCTACCTTTTGTCCTTTCACCCATTAATCCTCAGTAAATATTTAAATATCATTGTTAAGACCAAGGATATGCCTTTATGTTTTGTTCCTATGAGTTTCTGAAATCCTTAATTTAACATTTTCAGTATTCTGTAGCTTTCAGCATTTAAAATGCAAGTTGTTTTTTCAAGCTATTCAAATGAAAACTTTTCCTGAATACATGTATTATAAAACTTGGTACTAAAAAAATCACATGGTATCCAATTTTCCTTCCTTATAAACAAGATTATTTATTTCTGTATAAAGAACATAATAGTGCAAAGTCTTCTACAAGATTCCAAAGAGTTCCCTCATAACCAAAGTTTTCTTGTAAGCAAGCTCAGTAAAAACTAAGTTATACCGTATTCACCACAAGTACTAAAGAAGCCACTTGCCTTTGAATCTGTTCTGTGTAGTTGTTTTTGCGTTTCTTGCTAGCACTTTGAGTATTAATCCTACGTATCTGGATCTGGTTACGATTCAGTAAATGTTCCGTTTGGAACGCCTCATGTTCCAAGCAGTCGTCAATCAAAAAGCGCTGATTAGGATCCAGTTTTAAGGTTTTCTGAAGACAATAATATTTTTATATTACTCATATCATCCAAAAAAAATTTTCATTATGCTTTTAAGAATGTTATAAAATACTAATTTAATGAGAATTTATAAAGAGAAATTTTCTGATACTCACGTCCATAAAGTCAATTAGAACACCACTGAGAACTCCATGATAACGCTTTGGTAAGGTCTGGGGTCTTGCCACTGATGGAAACTTGAAAAAATTAATTCAAAAATACAATTACATGCACATATTTTCCCCCCAAAACATTAAATATCACCATTGAAATAAAAACAAGAAGTACATAACATTGATAAAAGCTAAAGGATGGTACAACATGCAAAACAAATTGATCTTTCTGAGTTTTTCCTCTTCAAAACTATCTTTAGATTAAAAGCAGCAATTTTAATTAAAATGGAGAATTGTTTTAGAAACTATCCATTACATGTATCAGTTTTTATTATCCAATTAAAATTCCATTTCATCAATAAATAATTTTCACAATATGTGAAAACTATAGATAATAAACAGTCAAAAAAGAGCAAATTCTAACAAAATAAAAGAATAAAATTTTGAACAAATGTATTCTAAAATTTCAAGTCCAGTAAAAAAGCAAACAATGAAGTACACATTATTTCAAAATACTGTAAATATACTTTTTTCCATGGGGTCATAATTCCGTGGAATCTCAATTTCTATTTAATCTGCGGGTAGGAAATTATGCGGATTTCTCAGACTGTCACTTTATGCCTTGCATTTATATTAAGTAAGCTTCGACAAATTTCCGCGGAAAATTTGTGACCACGTACATAGCGTAAATTAATACCACGCGGAAAAAAAATACGTCTACAGTAATAAGGAATAATCAAATTGTAACTCCAAATTTCATTGGACATTTACATCATCATCATCCTTCTTTCTTTGCTTCTGTGACCTTGTTACCTTAAACTAGAAATATGTCCATAGGACATGAATGCCCTGCTGAGGGTATATTAGTAATGCAACATGAAAATTTGTATTAGTGTATGAAATTTGATCAGAATATATTGAATAGTAATGCAGTTGAATTGCTTACATAAGTATGTATCAGCATATGAATTTTGACACTAATTTCAGAAAAAGTGATGCCAAGGTCAAAGGAAAGGTCAAGGTAAAAAATGATGATGCAGTTGAATAGCTCTCATCAGTATGTATCAACTTATGAAGTTTGATAAAAATATCTTGGATGATTTCTTTAAAACTGAGCTAAACACTAATTTAAGAAAAGTGGGATCAAGGTCAAAAAGAAAAGTCAAGGTAAAAAATGGTGAAGCAGTTGAATAGCTTTCATCAGTAAGCATCAACATGTAAAGTTTGACAACACCATCCTGACTGGTACATTTAAAACTGAGCTAAACACTAATTTAAGAAAAGTTAGGTCAAGGTCAAAGGAAAGGTCAAGTTCAAAACATGTTGATGTAGTTGCATAGCTCTCATCAACATCTATCAGCATATGAAGTTTTATGAAAATATATCATATAGATTCTTTGAAACTGAGCTTTGAATTGAGCTAAACGTAAAGTGTGAATGAAGGACAGAAGGATGGAACAGCGGGGCATAAAAACAGTAGACGTATGTTTGCTATCAGAAATAATACTGACACTGAAATGTTGACACTGAATGCTGGAAAATGATGTTCTCAAAATGGTATTGTGCCATAATACATGTGTTCAACAACTTGTTACTGAAAAACAATATACGGTGCTCTGTTATTACAAAGAAACAGAGCTCTGTATACTTAATAAAAGAAATTTGCGATCAGGACTCCAGAAAAAACCCTGGTTATTTGGTAAATGTTGTTTTTTTTAAAATCCCAAAGTCTTTGCTTAATAAATATGCTAATTCCTACCTTCAGTCCCGAAAACCTGGGATTAGCAAAAAACATTTTCATCTGGTCAGCAGGAAGTTGACCCATGACCTTCTGAATGACATAGAGCTGGTCAATCTCGCTCTCCCCAGGAAATAACGGCTGACCGTCACTGAGTTCTCCTAGAATACACCCTATAGACCAGATGTCCACAGCCTTTCCATAGGCAGCCCTAAAACACACGGTGAATATAACTGACTCTTAGTTCTACACTTAAATAAATATCACAGAGTGTACATTATCACACTATCCTTTATATAATACTATCACTTTGTTTTATTTGACAAGTTAGTTCTTTTTCTTTAATTGTTTTTCTGGATGTATTTTAGAGTTAGCTTGATGCCAAATGTTAAGCAATAAGAAGAAAAAAAGATCACATACTTTTACCTAAATTTCTATATTAAGAACATACCCAAGTAAGAGTTCTGGTGACCTGTACCATCTTGTGGCTACGTAGTCTGTGTACACACCCACCAATCCTCCGTGAATACTTCTGGCAAATCCTACAAAATCATTATAACAATGTCAGCTGATGAAATGCTCAGAAAGTCTTGAAGACAACTTTAGTTAGAAAGAGTTTCTTTGATTAAGCTCGATCATTCTAAGTTATTTTTTTTCTATGTTTAGCATCCACAGACATATTGGTTTTGAGGTTATGAAATTAGAAACATTAACACAAAAATGAGAAACCACAAATATTTGCAACACTATTTAATCCTTTGGATAGAATCCAAAACATTATATAAACTATACAATAATGGTCTGTTTTAAGTAATAAATTGTACAGTATTTTACTTACCAAAGTCACAAAGCTTCAGAGTATCATTCTTACTGATGAGTAAATTTTCTGGCTTTATATCTGCATGAAGAAAACAAAAATTATTAACAATTTATATGACTTTTGCTGTTGTTGTTGTTTTTTGGTCATGTGCTTGGAGGAGGGGAAAGGGAGGGGGAATGGTATGGTTTTATAAATGAAAAATTCTTTTACTACTGCTCATGACTATATGGATCAAATCAAATTTTAGAAATGTTGTGACCATGCAGGGTCACGGAAATGATCAATACTGAACTTTTCATAACCTATCCAAGTATTAAAGTAATTATCGGGATAGCTGATACATGAGATAAATATGTGAAATGATAAAGAAATTTTTATTTTTGAATATTTATTGTTCAGACAGTGGTCTCCTCACAACAAATGAAGAATCTTGAAGACAAACTTTATCTGAGAGACATAGTGTCACAAAGGCATGCACACACGCTCTTTTGATCAATGCAGAATCATAAATATGTCCGTTATTAAACATAGTGCCATAAACAGATTTAAAAATCTCAGGGTAGCAACAAGGATCACAACATATCACCAGTAATTTCAACCATCTATGATCAATAACTTATCAAAGGAGAAAGCCACAGCTGAATTCTGAGCTGCCTACTTTGGTCAAGCACTGAACATGAAACACCTCACGGTGTGCAGCATGAATATTTAATGCTGTGCCAAGATAAGCATGTATCATTATGGGCCTGTATGCCTCAAATTCAACAGAAGAAAATCAGGCAGCTACCAAAAGGAACCATGATTATTTTCCGCTTTTGTAAAGGGCGTATAAAGCATGAACGCCATGCCAGGGGCCTTTAATGAAGAAGATAATTAAGAATTTCAAAGCACTGAAATAACATTACTCCTGAACTAAATCTGACTTTTTCTATTCTGCCCTGTTGCATTTGTAACCATGAAACACAGACAACACACAACAACTCCCAATCCATGAATATTGTATTTTACTCAGTAGAGGAAATTAAGGTGTTAGTTGCATTTGTCATTACTTTTCATCGCAGGAAATTAAGGTGGACAAACTCTGAAGTATTGCTGATAAATTCTACCAGAATTAATGCCATTTCACAAAATAAATAAACTGTATCAATGTTTTTCCTCCTTAAACTATATATGTTACAGATAGGGAATTAGTGTCACTTCAGATCTGAAAAGACATCATAATGGCAACACAGATTGTTTATGCCTAAATATTAAGTCCTGAGTGCAACCTTGAATATAATCTGTCGAAAATTAACTTGTTACATATACCAGTAATACATGTATACATAATCTGTTTAAATATCATGCACAAAAAGTTTTAAAATTCACTCTTATTTGAAAAAGATAGAAAGCATCATGTACATATTTCTTAATCTTTAAATAAAATTAATTAAAGTGTCTTTTTTTTTTAAAAGATGTTTAAAATTCGGTTTACACTTTTAAAAAATATATTTTTAAAAATTGTTTAAAAAAAAAAGCAAAATGTATGTGTTTTCATAATCAGTGTACCATCTTTGAATATACAAAAGAGCAATAGCCACTTAGGGCCTTTTTTGGCCCTAAGAATTTCTGAAAAATCGAAACTGCTCAGTTTAGGTTGAAAACGTGGTTTTTATCACTTGCACTGTTAGCGACCATGTATCTATTGAACACAATGTAATTTTCCTGACACTTTATTAATCTGATATAAGGACAGGGCCATTTTATGCATTGAGTGAACCTAGCTCTTTGAAATCTTTTAGTGCCAGTTGAAGAATTTCAAAAATACATGATGGTAATTTTCTTTTGAATCCTGATCAATGCTTTTAATTTTATGAATCAAAGCCTAATACATGTTTTATGAATAGCATTTCTGTTTAATAATCAAAGAAATAGCAGACATTTAAAAAATAAAACTGCATGCAGACAATCGTTATTTTAATAACACACAAGAGTACAATTTATCATGATTATGGGCATGTTTTGAATAATATTTATAAGCAGAACTATTGACAACAACTATAGGTTTTTTAAATCTCAAATATACACTGCATGTGATAATGTTAATGATTTTTTTGCCTTCTAAAATCCATTAATATCAATTATGTTCTTTCAATACAATGAAAAACCTCCTTGTTCAGATACAATGCTATACAAACAATGCTCTTCACTGCAAGAATAAATGAAGAGTAGGTTTATTTGCTAACACTTGGTCAACCTTTAAAACGCAATTGTCTCTGCATATAAATTTTACTTATCAAATGTTTTTAAACCAATGGAATTTATCTGATAACTTATTAAAAATTTGCCATAAATGGCATGTGCAATATTATTTGAAGAAAAATAATTGAATTTTATTACTAGATCCATGTATACTTAAACATGCCTCTAAGTCAATCTGCTGAGGCCATTGCAATTTTTTTTGGTTATTTTGGAGGGATTTACTGTTGACCCTCTTATAAGTCTTGGAGTACAACTTTTTGACAACACCACCACACTATAAGATCAAACCTCTAATGATTTTACCAGCACATGTTTATAAATATTTAGAGTCATTATTGTAACAGAGGCAATTTTTTGCCTCTGCTGGGGATCAAACCCTGGGCTCTGGCTTGCCAGTCCATATTTGAGCTAAAGGAGTAACCCACAAGCCCAAGCCTACGAAGCTGATACAATGTACCTTACACTACTACACTGTCCCCCTCCAGAGACTGAAATGTCTTCATCTCTCTAATTGAATGGCAAAGTTCTATGGATAATCACTCTCACCTGCCAGAGATCACCAGGGTCCCAACGTGGGCGCCAAATGTATAACACAGACATTTTAAGCCTCTGCTGGGGATTGAACCCAGCTGCAAGCAAAAATTGTGAAACTGTCTTTGTAGAACCTTACTGCGACTTTTATTTTACCTCTGTGTATGATGTCCTGACAGTGACACCATTGTATAGCCTTACACAGCTGATACGTATAGTGCTTCACTTTCTCTGTAGGCACTCCATTAGGCATCTCCTCCAAAAGCTCCAGCATATTCTACAATAAAAAGAACAGGTAATGTTACACTATTTGGGGGGGGGGGAGAAAGTGAAACATGGATATTTGGATGTGGAGTATGTTTCAAACTGTGCACTTGAAATGAATCATTGACCTTAATCCTTGACATTGACCTAAATTCTTTTGTACAAACTTTTAAATTTCTTCCTTAAATAGTAGTTATAGTCAAAGCAGTATGCTATAACTTGATAAGACAAACATTCAAACACATATTCATTGAAAACAATCTACCCACTGGTAATAAATTTTCATTTTTATGCAACAATTTTTTGAAAATTTAATACTTTGTAAAATGTAAAATGTTCTTTTGGGTTTTTCTCCAAGTAACACTTCCTCACTGTATATACACATGTACTTATACAGAGTATACATATATAAATAAAATGTATTAATGCTACTCACTCTTTCTACATATTCAAACACCAGATAGAGTTTGCCCCTCCGTCTAAAGGCCTCCCGCAGTTCCACGATGTTCTCCTGCTTGAGGGTCCGCAACATCTTGAGCTCTCGAAGGGTCGTTCTTTTGACATCATCATTTTCTGTTAATTAAAGAAGGCTCATTAAAATTAAAGCATTTATTGGTGGTAAATAAAATAGGAAAATGTCAGGGAAAGCTGAAAAACAATTTTATTAACACTTTTATTATCAAATTTTATAAACCAACTTCTAGGACATAAGCACTTTAAAAAAAAAAATGTACATGTTTTGAAAAGCATAGTAATTTATAATTGATATGATTTAAAACTAGTATATGTATTATTCTGGTACTTTTTTTTGATTTTTGAAGCCTGAATTTTTTTCCCACAGGGTAATAATTCCTTGGAATCAAAATTTAGCGAGTAGAAACTTAGATTACCAAGTTATAAATGCTGCAAATGTACCTTAAAGCCGCTAAATCCGAAACAGGCACATATTATCTTACACAATAAAAGTATGTCATTGCATAGATAATATATAAAAATAAATTATAAGATTGATTTAATAGTTTATTACAACAATCCTTACGTGGAAAACATACATCAAAAACCTTATTGACAAACAGAAGTTCCTGACAGGAAGTTAAGATCTGTTGTGAAGTCACCTTTGAAAAATAAATTTATCGGTTTTATCTAATTATGAAGATCATTCAAACCTGAGTATTTTTTCCATTAGTAGAAGCCTAAGTCATTGAATATAATCCATAGTAATTTTTATATTAATATGCATATTTAAAGAATAAACGAAATCAGATATTTATTTTAAAGGAAATTTAGTAACGAAGGCTAAAATATTGTCCGTGTACAGGTATAAGTACTCTGTTGTGAAAAAAAAATGCTCGGGTTCGTTCTTCATGAGATATATATATTATTTTGATCCGAAGGGTCGTATCACATCGAGTTGACAGGCGCGGATCATCAGATCTAACGAGACGCGAAGCGTCGAGTTTGATCTGATGATCCGCGCCTGTCAACGAGACGTGATACGGCTCTTCGGATCAAGTTACTGTTATAATGATAAATTTATTATATACCCCCTTGTAACTGGCTAAATATATTGAAATAATCCTTCAGAGACCAATGGTATAATATTAATCCAATAAACAAAGCATTAAAACAAAGGACTTTTTAATGCGCAAGAAAAATAACGTCATGTTTCTGCGTACTACGTCATCAGTTTCAGAGAGTGGTGATATGGATTCAGAAAACCACAGTGTGGTGATCCGGAAAGTCGGATCACGACGTCACATGATTGCATGAATTCAACAGTAAAATCGAGTGATACACGTTAGGTATATAATAAATACATGTAAGCGATAAATCTAATTTTTCGAAGGTGATTTCACGCGATATCAACATAGGATTATTTTTTGTGTTACCTAACAAAATTTTTTTTTTAACTTTTGAATTTTGATATCTTTTGAAAGAAAAAGACTTTGGGGATATAATTTGACAAAAAGTGAAACAATTTATGAACAATTATTTTTCAAGAAGAAAAACGAATATATTTTTCAGCGATTAGAATCGGACCAAGCGGCTTTAAGTATGCTGGAAAATATCTGCAAAAAGTTTGTGCCCCCGGGTATAAATAGCAAAAGTTAATACCATGCAAAAAATCGTATTTTTAGAACTTTCATTTGTTTGAAAAGTTTCAATTTCATCATTAATTGCATTTTTACTACAAAACGTACAAAAAGAAAAAAAAATGTCTCCTTTACCCTGGAGAGATATGAATGTTTTAAGTACACCACCAATTATAATCAATGTTGCAGATATAATTATCAATAAAACTGGATATTAATCTCTGCATCAACATGATTTATTGATGCTAGAAACAACAGAACTCATTCAGGCACGACAAGAGACCAACTATCGGAGACGCACAGCAACACTGGAATCACCAACCAAGTGGTTTTAATGGCAAAATAAATAGTACCGGCATTTCATTTTTTTATTTTCACAGATTGCTATCATTTTTTAATGGAAATCCAATAGGAAGCAAATTAACAAAATATGTTTACATAATAAACATAATATGTACCATTTTCAAAGCACCAAGGATTATCAAACATTAACAAATTTGAAATAGGCAATGGAAAAAATTCTTTGATGACAATTAATTACTGGTAATTGGTTGCACTGGGGAGATTTTCCTCAGCTGTCCTGCTTTTCCAGGAATGTTATTTTGCAACCTGTCTGCTTTTCCATGACTCCTTCACACTGCTTTTCCGCAAAATGGCTTTTACTATATACTATGTGATATCTTTTTCGATACCTTTTTTCTGTGATTTTTAAATGGTCCGACAGGCTTAGTGTTTGATAGGTAAATCATGGTCGGAAATACTGTATATTAATGTAACAGGTATCTTAATATTAACATCATATCAAGATGTAAATGTATCCTGCTGAAAATTGTATTTCTACTACAAATTGGTAACAAATTTTACCTCAGAATATCAGAAGAGGTAGATGAAATTTAAAATTAAAATGTTGCAAAAGCAAAAAATAGGTTCATGGAAAGCAGTATTCCTTGTCATATAAAAGCAAGATTTTTTTGTGTAGAAATTAAAGCAGTGTCGAATCGCGGAAAAGTGGAACTGCATCTCCTGTGTCACATTATTATACTATTTTGGGATTCATTTTAACAAATAGTTTTCTTTTTTGATTATGCATATTTTCCCCTTAAAAACTATAACATCCTAATTGACATACTATGATCTATACCTTTCCACTGGTGTCAGGAATCCTGACAAAAAAAAAGTAATTAATAGCCATTCTCTGTAACCACTTAAACTTCGTTGCCACGCATGGTCACCGATTTTGATGAAACTTCACCCAGGCTTAGTACTTGACACCAGAAACAAATATCAAACAAAATTTCGTTGCTAAGTGTCTCGGTTGCTATGGCAACAGCCAGAAAATTTTGAAAATTCTAGATTTTTAGCCAGTTTAAATATTGACTGTGGCTTAATAAAAACTAGAAAAAGCAAACAAACCATTCTCACAAAAACATGACACCTTGATGTCACTTATACTGTAAAGAAACTGTTTAGAATATATCTCTAAGTAAGTGGTAACCAAGGGTACATTTGGAATACATTTAAAATGCTGAAATTTTCTGAAAAACACTCTGTATTCACTAATGGTAGGTGTTACATGCTCAAACTCAATCAAAGACTTAAGAAAAACAATGAAAATGTTTGACCTTGAGTATATAAGTATAAGCAATATTATTCTATAAATAACTTTTATGTTTGCCATGGTAACACAGTGTAAACATGCCAAACCAGTAACTAAGATTGGGTTAATGCTACTGTCTTGAGGAAAAACATGAAATTTCAAGACTGGCAAATATGCATCCTTAGGACCTTGCATCACCAAAACCATAAGAAAAATTGGGTATCATTGCTACTTTGCAGTGTTACCATGGAAACAAAGTACGAGTGCTTAAAAGTGAATTATTTTTCGCTGCATTAAGAATTAAATTGCCATATAATCAAGAAACAAATTAAAGGACTCAGCTTGAATGGTACTTATCTGTTAGAACTGAAATTGAATATCATATATTGATAAAATTTGATGAAGAAAACAACACTGTTGCTATGGTTACCAAGGAGGGAAAATGTTCAATTTTGTGAACTTTATATCAATATTTAACCCTGTGTGCCAACTTCTTGCATCCATTTAGAGATTGGATGATAGTCAAAATAAAAAGTCAGGTTAGGTGTTAATAAATATCAATCATAAAAGTTTTGGGAATCTACATTTAAGGGTACGTATCCAAGGAAAGAAAATATTTTTCAGGTTTTTAAGCATATATTTTCTGCTTATTTCCATAGCAACGCTCTTTTTAAAGAATCTAATCTGAATTTTTTCAAATGGGAAAACTAGGAGCACACCAAAATCTATAAAAATTGATCATTAGTTATGAGGAAATATGCTTTTTTAAAAGATAGGATCAGATTTAAACATACAGAGTGTTACTTTGAAGGCTCTCTGTGGTATAAAAACCTTGGCAACCATTGCCAACCAAATTAAATATCATATTTTGTTCTTGGTATATGTTTCAAGGTTCTTTTTTCTATTATTTGGTCACATTTCATCCTATAATTGCTTTTTATTTTTACGTGTAGGACTTTATAAAATTCAATGAATATTTTTTTTACTTTTGAATACTTTGTTACCATAGTAACGTATGTAATAGTTGATTTACCAAACATGTTTGTCATGCATTTGAGACATCTGACCTACAACTTTTGGAAACAGTCATTGCCAATTGTTTGCTTTGCTGCAAATGTTAACTATGGGTCTCTAAACATGTTAAAAAATGCCATTTTTCGAACTTTAAGACATGTTGCCATGGTAACTATAAAGCATAGCAACACAATTTTTGCCTGATTTCAGTTTAGGGTATCAATGTCTTTTATCATAGAGAGTTTGGAGAAATTCTGAGACTATGCGTGCCACAGCTCCTATATGAAATTTCAAATCATTACAGAGAATGGCTCTTAAAACATCATCCAAGTCTAGACTTTTGATGTAAATAAAATATTCAGCATTAGTGTCAGAAAAGAAAGAACATATTAAAGATATATGTAATCTGATGTTGGTACCCATCAATTACATACTGTACATGCAACAATCTGCATGAAGAAATCAATTAATGATGATACCATACTAATGTCTTGGTTCTATGGTTACTAAATATAAACATTCTCAGTGATATATCAGGCCTTGTGTAGACTTCATAATGGCAGAGAAGCAAGGAATTAATCCCCTCTAAGGGTCTGAGAGACATATATGAAACAGAAACTGATTAAAGATGCAGACACCCACAACTAGGACCTATACATAAACTGCTTTATCTGTGCAAAAAACTGAAATAATTTTCAAAAGACATTTCAAAAAGAGAATTTAGTTCTTGTGATAAAGCAGATAATATAGCATGAATGTTCTGTGAGTTTCTTGAAGCCAGGTTATTTGAAGAAAGTTGGTTTGAAAATGTTTACTATATATATTATCTCCAACTAAATTAAACTCTTCTTAGAGCTTACTGTATGGCT